GAAATTCTGCTCACTCAGCATTACATTTTATTATCAGGCAAGTTGCTCTTTGCTCTAAACATACCCTTTTGCTACCCTTTTTGTAGATATTAATTTATTTTGGATCTTGACCTCCTCATGTGGTTCTTCCAAGTCTTGCTACTCTTTCTTGCTGATTGCTTTTGTGTCTTTCTGTTCATATTTCCTCATTTTATTTTTAAATTTTTATTATTTTTAATCATATCTTATGTTTCAATTATGTATGCCATATACTATATATTAGTTTCAGGTGTATACCCCAGTGATTTACCCTGATAAATCTTACACATACATAATCATTACATCCCCATGACTAATCTGTAACAACCAATTTTTACTTAATCCCTTCACCTTTTTCACCCAACCCCTCATCCCTCCCTCCCATCTGGCAACTATCAAAATATTCTCTGTATCTATGAATCTGTTTCTGTTCTGCTTGTTCATTTTATTTTTTAGGTTTAATTGTTGATTGATATGTGTTTATTGCCATTTTATTGTTCATTTTTATCTTTCTCCTCCTTCTCTTCCTCCTTCTCCTTCATCTTTTTAAAGAAGACCCTTTAACATTTCATGTAATACTGGTTTGGTGGCGATGAACTCCCTTAGCTTTTTCTTGTCTTGGAAGCTCTTTATATGTCCTTTGATACTAAATGGTAACTCTGCTGAGTAGAATAATCTTGGTTGTAAGTCCTTGTCTTTCATCATTTCTTGCCTACAAAGTTTCTGTTGAGACATCAGCTGACATTCTTGTGAGAACTCCCTTGTAGGTAACTAAATGCTTTTATCTTGTTGCTTTTAAGATTCTCTCTTTGTCTTTAACCTTTAGCTTTTCAATAATAATGTGCCTTGCATAAAGAAAACACTACACTTTTATTCAAGAAGTTCTTCATTTGTCCTCCAGCCACCGAATAACAGGAATACACCTGTAGTTGACAAGTTGGGTTTAGTACTTGCTGTGGCCAGAGAGAATGCACTCTGTGGAGAAGCATGCAGTATCTCAGTAAGAGAGTGCTTGAAAAGCATTATTATTGGATTTGGGCTTGTAGCAGGTGATTTAGAGGAGCAGTTGCCAACCTTTCGGACCACCATTGGTCTGCAGACCACCAGTTGGCTACGCTGCTCCAAAGGTTTCCTTAAACCAGCAGTCACCAACCTTTCAGACCTCACGGACCACCGTTGATTCTCAGACCACTGGTTGGCAACCACTGATTTAGAGGAAGGTTTAAGGATGTGGGGCTTTGCAATGCTGTCAGGAAGTGGGGAAAGTTTAAAGGGAGGGCAGACTAGAGAAAGACTCCAGCTGTAATTGGTAAAGAAGCAGCAGTCACTCATTTTCCAGGAGTGGGGGCTGTTTGATATTTGGCTGGGACAGTGTTTATGTTTTGTCTGTATTCAAGCAAGTTACTGAGTACTCTTTTTCCTTCCTTCCTTCCTTCCTTCCTTCCTTCCTTCCTTCCTTCCTTCCTTCCTTCCTTCCTTCCTTCCTTCCTTCCTTCCTTCCTTCCTTTGTTTTGATCTATTGTTGACACATAATGGCCTGTCTGATCTTTGGTGCCCTGAAATTGCTTGTTTAACAGGAAAACATCAATACCTAAATGTGAGTGCCAGACCACCTTGTAGCAACACCAGGGCCAAGCTGATAGTACTAGGGCAGCTTCTGAATGCCATAGGCTGCTTTTCTTTCTCTCAGATATGATTTGTAAGTTCTGTCAGCACTAAATAAAATTGGGTATAAATGGTGCTTAGTGGAAGACTTGACCTATTTCTGTTTCCCAGTCCATTCACATAGAGGCTATATGGCACATAAATATAACTCTTGAATAAAACCAGGTGTGATTGATGCAATAAAAGAGGTATGAGAAGTATGTTTTAAGTACTTGGGGAGAAGACACTTTGGGGTGAGGGCAATGGCCTGGGCCTTGAAAAATAGGCTGAATTTGGGTTATGTGGAGTGGAGAGAAAAGCAAAAACACTGGAATACAAGGGCTTAGAGGCAAGAAATCACAGGGCACACTCAAAGCATGGTAAGAAGCCTCGTTAAGCTGAGTCAAGAGTATGTAATGGGAAAGAAGTGTGAGAGGGACTTTGGACTAGATTATGGAATTCAGGTTTTTTTAGAATTCTGTTTGTAGGGAGGGAACAGTCAGAACTTGTTAAACACCCACTGTGTGTGGTGGGTGCTTGGATTATGTTATTTTATTTTTTCTATAATCCTGTAACAATGCTGAGAAGTAGATATTATTATTCGTATTTTACAAATAATGAAAATTAGCTCTAGAAAGGTTCAGGATCTTAACTAATAACTCTGACCGAAAAGATGGTACTCTTTTTACTTCACTTTGTTGCTTCCTGATTAACATGCCCACTTGTCATCAAATGGAACCATTGAAAGCTTTTGATCAGAAAAATAGCAAGACCAGTTAGAATTACGCTTCAGGAAGATTTCTCTGGTAACAAAACAGTAATAGTTAACATGTATAGAGTACATGGACCTTACCTATGCAATTTAGGTACATAAATATCTTTTTTTTAGTAATATCTAGGATGAACTGGAGGGAAGAAGCTGGTGAAAGATGAAGAAAGATCTAGTTAAGTTAGCAGAAAACATCGAAGCAGTGGTAAGCAAAGTAGAGTTAAGAGGGGAATGCAAGAAGAGGCCCTTAGAGACGAGTGGTGAGGAAACAGCTGTTGTCCCAGGCTCCACTTAAGTAATACTGAATTAAATATGGCCTCTACAATGCCCTCAGTATTTAGGGAACGAGCCCATTAAGGTCTTTCTTGTACTGTGTAATCAGAAATAAAAACACATTCAGTTCTTTATTGATTTATTTGCCCTGAGAATGAAATGGTTTAATGTTGCTTTCAGAAAGCTCTTTTGTTAACAGTGCTAGAGTTTTTGTTTTTGTTTTGAGCAGCAGGAATGGTTATTAACAATGGAAAGTAGAGCTTCGCTCTGTAAAATCCATTAAGTTTTTAGTCAAGCTTAAATGACATGCTAAGTGAAGTATTAATAATTAAGTAAACCTATATTTGGAGAAAGCTTTCAATAAACAATTAGGATTTAGTCAGGTCCCATTTTAGGGAATGCTTAAGTACATTTAGAGATAGTGAAAACAGCTGTTTTCTATTTTGGAAATGCTGCAATATTAATGTTCTATTATCTTTAATGTTCTGATCTCTTTAGTTTTTGAAAGCATATTTTTAAAAACCCCACAAATTTTGTAATGTAGCTAACTTTTGCCAGCCTGTTTGCCCCCAACTTCCCTCCTCTGTCAGCTTGGTCACCCCTAACTGTCCTCCCCTGCAGGGGTTGATCACCCCCAACTTCCCTCCTTTGCAGGCCTGGTCCCCCCCAACTGCCCTCCCCTGCTGGCCATCTTGTGTCCACACAGGGGCAGGATCTTTGACCACATGGGGGCAGCCATCTTGTGTGTTGGAGTGATGGTCAATCTGCATATTTCTTTTTTATTAGATAGGATAATATATTTATAATTTATATTTTACTCAGTGGTTTTACTTTGGTCATCTTTTAATGTAATTTTTTATCTTTTAAGTTTTTCTTTTTGTGAGTTCCTGTTTTTCTATTGTGTTTCTTGTGATGGTCATATTTAATTGTAGAAATTTCTTGTCTATTCTAGTATTTTAATCCCTTGTCAATTTTAGATGTTGCAAAAGCTTTTCCTTGTCATCTATCTTAACTCTGTTCATGGTATTCTTTATTGAATAGAAATCTATAATTTTGTTGAATGCAAAGCTTTTTACTGTACAGTTTGTATTTGTAGAGTCTGATTTATGGAGTCTTTCTGCTCTCTAGTGTTCTCTGCTTTATAATGTTATCTCCCTGTGGTTTTACTACATAAGCCTGTTTACATGGCCTTTTGAAGAGACGTCTTTCCTTTCTCACCTCTGGCTCTCAGGAGGTTTGGCAGGTGGTGTTAATGTTTGGCTACTTCTCTTCTGATGGAGGAAAATAAATGCAAGAAAACTGATACACTCCCCCTTTCTGTAAGCCCTGCTCTCACTCACAGGGAAGAACTCCTTTGACTCTGTTTGTACTGCATGTATCCTGTGTTGTCAGCTACTGCTGACCAGAAAGGGGTGCATACCCACACAAACTGAGTATTCATCTCCCTCCAGGAATTTGGAATTAGGTCCACTCTCTTCTGTCCTCTTGAAAGACATACAAATGAGGGGCTTGGGGATAACTATCTTCTCCCATGTTTTCAGAGAAGCTAAAGAAATGGTCTGCAGAGAAAGAGTGAAGATATGCACAGGGAAATAGAAAAAAAGAAAAAGGAAAAGAAAGACAAAAGCCTTTTGGCCCCAGAGAGAGGGAAAAAGATGAGACAGAATGTAAGAGAAGCTGTCCTGGATCCTGATGGCTTTCCAGTTTCTAGTTCTCTTCTCTTCTGAGACCAGATTGCATGATCTGCACTAGTTAGGGGTGGCAAACTGCCGTGACAGACTCCAAAGTATACAGTGTCCCTAACCTACTGGAAGTTCTTTCTAAGTTGAAGGCTCTGTTCCACACAGGCGGCTAGGAGTCCAGGTTGATGGAGGTTCTGCCGTTTTCATCGTCACATGACTTCCGAGGTTTCCCTAGGTGCCAAGCATCCGGCTGAAGGGAAATGAACTTGGAGTTTAATACATGGAAAGTTGATTAGGCCAAGCCTTGAACTAGCACATTTCCCTCACAGTCCCTTGGCTGGAACTCAGTCAAATGGCCACATTTAACTGTATGGTAAACTGAAAACTGTCTAGTTGTGGACCCAAAAGGATGGGAAAAATGGGTTTGGTGAACAGCTAGAGGTTGCCACATCGTATTATCAGTGTGATGCTTCTATATCCTTATAATCAAGTACCTGATTTTCCTTAAACTTGTTTGAGTTGGCTTTTATTATTTGTACCTTAATGCATTAGGTATTTTCATAACAGCCATATTTAAAATAGTAGAATAAAGTCTGATTAATTTATTTTCTCAGGAAAATTGGGCCGATTTCCTCCTATGATGCATCATCACCAAGCACCCTTAGATGGCCAGACTCCTACAGCGCGCGCCCAGAAGTCTCACCTTGCGGAGGCCTTTGCAAAGGCCAAAGGATCAGGTGGAGGCACTGGAGGAGGAGGAGGTAGTGGAAGAGGCCTGATGGGGCAGATTATTCCAATCTATGGCTTTGGGATATTTTTATACATACTGTACATTCTATTTAAGGTAAGTGGAATCATCTTGATCAATTATATCAGTGACAATCCAATATTATTGTAATAAAAATCATTGTTGGTATTGCAACCCTTGACAGTTCATAACCCTTTTTCAAATCTACTATCTCTTTAAACCTTGCCTCCTCTTCATAAGGTACTTAGGATAGGTATTATCCTAGCCTAAGTTTTACAGATGAGAAAATCTTCACTCAGTGCTGAAATGATTTGTCCAAAATTCACAACTGACACTGCAGAAATAGGACTTAAGCCTGGATCTTCTACTTGCTAATCCAGTTAGCAATAAAGTTAAAAGCCCTTGACTGGGCATATTTTCAAGCTGAAAAGGCATAAAGCAGCTCTGTTGGAGTTTTAAGATTGTTGTTAGAGCTTTGTTGTTAGGATTGGCTCAGGGGCTTTCAGGTAGCCGCTGTGAGGCCAGGAGATGACTATACCAACAACACTTTGTCCTTCTCCCCAGAGTATGAAGTGCTGTTTTTTAACATTATCTTCAGTAATTCTTCTCAAACAGAACTGCCATATCCTGAAACTAAGCCTGCTATGTCTTAGTTCTGAGAGACATGGTTTGGGTCCTTTATAAGTAGACTGCTAGTTAAGTTCCTCCTCCAGCCCAACGTTGGCAGGCCATGGGCCTAGCTACCGGGGAAGAGTTTTACTTTGTCCTTCTAACTAGAGTAACAGGCGAGCTCCTCCTAGCCCAGAAATTCTGCAGGCTGCCCGAGTTGAGTCTTAGGTGAACATGGCCACGGCAGATGACCTGTAGAGACAGATTTTTTCCTTGTGCCTTGCTATTTTTTTTACTTGGAAAGCTATTGTTTTGTTGTTGTTGTTGTTTGTTTTGCTTTGCTTTTTTAGATATTTGTCTAATGTTGCTATTCAAGTGGATTTCTGACTTAATTTTTGTCTCCCAGCCTTTTTTTTTTTTCTCCCACTTAATATGAGGGGTTCCGTGACTTTGAGGTTCTGAGCTGCTGTTGATGTGCTGTACCTCCTTCACTTCTCAGCTTTCAAAGGGGAAGACTACTACAGTGGACCGGAAATGCTCTACTGCCACATCTGGAGACACCTGCAGGAAAATTAGTAAGTGCCCCTTTCAGAAAGGTCAGACAGCTGTAATGCAGCCAGAGGGACAATCTGAGTATGACCTAAAAGCATTTCTCAAAAGTTGTCCCAAATTATGCCATTTTTTACCTTAGCTCTGAGAGTTCCTGAAAGTTTCCATATTGATATTGGCTTTAAAGGGAAAGATAGCTACAAAAGGTACAAAACTACGAGTTCACTTTTTTATGTTAGTAAATTAATATTTCACATTTGGAATGGGTTCCTGCTCATGTCTAGGCTTCAGAATATTGGTAGCAAATATCCTTAATTCACAGAGAGGAAAAGCAAGGCAGAGATCAAGTCATTGCCAAAGTCAGTTATTAGATCCAGGGACAGAATTTAACACTTCAGGCTCTTGAAACATGATCATCAAATGTTCACTAACAACTAGAATATTCTGTGTTCTCTGGGGAAATGCAGTGTATATGACATAGCTCTCCCTCTAAGAATTTATAATCTAGGATGGATATCAGGAAAAATAACTTGTGCAGAGTTGACTACCTAAACCCTTGGTTGGTAAACTGGGGTTCGCAGGCCACATGCGGCTCTTTGGCCCCTTGAGTGTGGCTCTTCCACAAAATACCACGGCCTGGGCTAGTATTTTGAAGAAGTGGCATTAGAAGAAGTTTAAGTTTAAAAAATTTGGCTCTCAAAAGAAATTTCAGTCATTGTACTATTGATATTTGGCTCTGTTGACTAATGAGTTTGCTGACCACTGACCTAGACAAAAGGGATCTGCTAAAAGCCTTATAGGAAATCATGTCTAGCTGGGTGTCTGTGTAGGAGGCCTGCCAGCTAGAGGGGATGGTTTGGGTGAGGACAGCTGTGGGGAAGAAGGCCTGAAGAGTAGGAAGGTTAAGCCATATTGCTGAAGGTCGTTGAGGCCAGATGGCTTTATCCAGTGGATCTTGAAGTCTCATCAGAGGTTTTTAAAACAAAGACATCAGCCAAATGAGGTGAGGCTGGACCACAGAAGCATCTGCCCTCGGCCATGATTGCTTTCTGTGTTTTTTCCACAGTCTCTATGGAAATAGGTATTTCAGTCACACTCTACATCCTTTTTATAAATCTTACATATTCAGGGACTTCTTTAAGACAGCTGCTGTGTTCTTAATTGAGATAATGTCTAACAGTGATGGTAAATGCATCAGTAAAATCATTTTTAAAAGATTTGTGGACTCTTTACCAGTAAATTTGAGAAGCAAATTCTGTATCCTGTCACATAATGCATTTAAAACAGAAAGAAGTAAATAAAATGAATTCCTAAGAGCAGCTATTTTATAACGTAGTAGCAGTTATATTAGCTCCTTATCCTTCAATTTTGAATCATGCGGAAAACAAAAATAACTTAAGCATTTATGTAGCACAGTCCTCCAGACACTTTATAGATGTTAACTGCATGAATAAGAATATGGTCCAGAAGTATTAAAAGGCCTTTGAAATGCTGTATCTGCAGTAATTCTTTGAATACATCTGAGTGGAGGATAGCACTGGATATGACACAGAAAAACTAGATTATCTACAACATTTTATTTTCCTACTGCTTTAAAGTTCATTTCATGTGCTGATTGGGTGATTTATTTTTTCTGCTTTACTTTTAGGATCTTATGTTAGTTGAGAAAACTACTTCTAGGAGGCAGGGTTACACCACTTCACTCCATATGACTGGGACAGATAATCTCGGGCAGAGAGGTCTCAAGATTTCCTCTATTAAGGAAGCATGACATTTAAACTTACTTCTAGATAGGTTTTTAACTTCGTGTGCAAGTGAAATATTGCTCATTTCACTTAGTTTTCTAAAGGACCTTATATATTTGGTTCTTTACGCTTGAGCATTATTTCGATTAGAATAGCCAAGTATTGAAGCAACCTAAGTGTCCATGGATAGATAGATGAATGGATCAAGATATGGTACATATATACAATGGAATATTGCTCAGCCGTAAAATAGAATGAAATCTTGCCATTTTAGATAACATGGATGGACCTAAAGGGTGTTATGCTAAGTGAAATAAGTCAGACAGAGCAAGACAAATAACTATATATAGACTAGAGGCCCATTGCGTGAAATTCATGAGAAGTAGCGGCTGCCAGCAAGGGCCTCCCTCCCTTCCTCTGGTCACCCGCCTCTGCCACCAGCCAGGGCCTCCCTCCCTTCCTCTGGTCACCCGCCTCTGCCACCAGCCAGGGCCTCCTCCCTTCTCCTGGCTGGCCACACCCACTGGTTGAACTCCCAGACAACCTCCTGGTCGAGGGGTCAATTTGCATACTATGCTTTTATTATATAGGATTTTACTTATATGTGGAATCTAAAAAACAAAGCAAATGAACAAACAATGCAAAACAGAAACAGTTTCATAGACCTAGAGAAAAACTGATGATTTCCAGAGGGGAAGGGGCTGGGGAAAAGGGAAGAAAAGGTAAAGGTGAATAAGAGGTCTAAAATTCTAGTTATAAAAAAGTAATGGGGTTGTAATGTATAGCATAAGAATGCAGTCAAAATATAATAACCCGGTATAATGACAGCATGGTGATCACTGTGTTGGTTGTATTAATGTAGAATATCAGTGTTACACACTTGAAGCTAATATAATGTATATATTAACTATATTTTAGTTTAAAAAAAACAACAACAACACAGGAAAAAGGGGTATGTTTATATTCATTTCTTCTTGGGTGACTATAGGGGTATGTTTTTCAGTCCTAAATATTTTCTTAGCTGGTCCTACTGTATATCTATGCATAATAGTGATTTGTTCATCACTCACTAAACATGTATCCTTTAGATCTTGACGCCCAAACCACAGCACCTTTGTATCCTGATTGGATTAGCTGGAGAAACTCTTAAATCTCCTCCCTAAGCCTCAGGACCAGCCTGGATTACTGTAGAGTGTCACTGCCAGCCATGTCTCAGAAAAGAGCTTAGGGAGCTGTATGTGATGGTTCTTAGATCAATGCTTGTTTTCCAGCCAATTTTGAGCTTGTTCAACTGCAAGAAAAACTGAAGGAGACAGAGGAAGCCATGGAAAAATTAATTAATAGAGTGGGACCTAATGGTGAAAGGTAGGTTTTCAGGACTCAGACTATTTCCCATTTAGAGAATCAATTCAAGATTTTTCTCTTCTTTGATTTCTGGGCCACTTAGTTTCATTTTATGTAGTTGTCAACTTATTTGTCATTTGCATGTCACTTCTCACAAAACATTTCTGTTTTATGCTATTTAAGCAATCTCCAGAGCATATCTTCATTGTAATGCACACTGAGTGTCTGCAAACGTCAAGGCGAAGCCCTTCCACCCCTCACCTCCCCTTCAAGAGTGGCCATGTGGTCCCTGGCCAATCCTGACATGTCATCTCCTTGGCTGCAGTGATGGGTTCAGTGGTATATACAGGACCCAAGTTGGGCCAAGTGTACTTTCACCTAAAACTAGGCCTTGAACCCAGTGAAACCTGAACTGAAAGCTTTTCATATTAACTCACCCTGGCAACAGTCCCTAAAGAAATTATCCATTTGCTCCTGCTCCCTAATCTCTAGAGCTGCTCTCCCTCCCACCTTCTTGAATCCTGGATCTTCAGCGATTCTTCTCATATTGTGAGCTATCCCACATCCTCCCAATAAATTCTGCTACCTTCTCCAAATTCTGCTACCTCCTCCAAATACAGTTTATTTGAAGATGGCCTGCTTGTAACCAAAGAATCCTGATACAGCCCGTGATTTTTTTCCCTCCATGAAGTCCCTTAATTTGGCCCAACTAGGACCTACGTTGGAAGGGTGATTTAAGATTAACTTCGATGTAGTGGCAAGGACTCCAAGTGGAAGTGCTCAGGGGATAACGAATAATGAGACTGGCTTTGTGTGAAAAGTCAAGAGCAGAGGTAGAATTTGGATATCATCTGTGTAGTGGTGGTGGTTTAAACTGATACTGGGTCAGCTTCCTGAGGTCGTGTTCATAAGAGTAAAGAAATGAGGGCCCTAGGATTGAGCCTTCATGACAGCCATGTTTCAGGAATTGGGAAGAAGAAAGTGAGCCATGATCAGAGATAAGAATGGTTAAAGAAATGGGAGGAATACAGGTGTCTCAGTAGACAAGGGAGAGGGCATTTCAAGAGGATGGTGCAGAGAAGTTAAGAAGAATGAAATGTGAGAAAAAGACTTGGACTTGAGAGTAAACTGTTCATTGATGACTTTTGCAAGTTTTGGTAAAATGAAGCCAGATTTCAGGGAGGTGGAGAAAAGGGGTTGTGAGGAAACGGAGCAAGCTAACACATGAGCACTTACAGTGTTCATGGCACTGTGCCTATACAGTTGTAATTACCACTGTCTTCCAGAAGCAAGCTATGGTGAGACAATAAGGAACCTATGAAAATCTTCATTGTGATAAATTCAGAAGGTGTAAGGTGGGCCATGATGAATTTCCTGATGCATGACATGGGCAACATTAATAGATTTGTTCAGAAATGAAAGATGCTTTAGTTTGGAATTCTCTGAGAAAGCTGCTCTTGTTTGTTTCTGCTTCTGCTAGCCATTCCTGTTTTAAGATTCTGGTTTTTCATTAGTTAAGAGACAGAATCCAGTTCTAGCTGGTTTGGCTCAGTGGATAGAATGCTGGCCCTCGGACTGAAGGGTCCCAGGTTCAGTTCCAGCCAACGGCACGCACCTTGGTTGCAGGCTTGATCCCTGGTTCTGATGAGGACTCGTGTGGGAGACAATCAATCGATGTGTATCTCTTACATCGATGTCTGTCTGTCTCTCCCTCCCCCTCCTTTCCAGTCTCTCTAAAAATCAGTGGGAAAATAACCGCAGGTGAGGATTAACAAAAAGAGAAAAAAAGAAACAGAATCCAGGCTGTTTCACTCAGTAAAAATAAAAATCCATTGAGTACAGTCCAGGGAAGTAGCATGTGCAGCCCAAGAGCAAGTTTTGTGATAAGCACATAGGCTCTTGTAGGTGGGGGTGACCTAACTGCTCCAGAAGCCTCCCCCACAAAGTGGTCATTGTGAGAATTGGGGATTATGTAGAGCAGGTGAGCTGTTGTGGTGAGTCAAGACTCCTGTACTGATGGGGGAAGAGCAGAGGTCTAAGAGGCCCAATACATTTAGCTGACTGTGGAGCAGACAAGCTGCTTCAGTTCAGGCTGAGAGGCCGTTAGTGTGGAAGAAGGGAGCCCTGGTGGTGTTTTCCTCCCACTGAGGGCTGCAGAAGCGCACCTTTACTTTCTCAGTTACACCTTAACATTGGAGGGAGGAAACGCTGTTTTTCTCCTTATTGGTCAGTAAGGCTAAAGTTTGTTAGGCTGAGCATTAAAAGGTATGCTGGCTCCCACTGGCTGTTCAGAAGGTATTATTTTTCCTTCATTAATGTTATGTTGATTTTGAATGCTTTGAGTTTTTAAGAAAGCAAGTAGCCTCTGTTAAATACTGCCACTAGATAAAACTTGTAGCAAAGCAGTTCTCGGTCTTCTCTATAGAGCCTTGCCTGCCTATGCATGTAATGCAGTGCTTCCTTCTAAAACAAAAACAAACAAAAACCTCCTACCATTTTCCTTGAGCCCTTGCAGACATTTGTCCAGAGCCACCAGCTAAGTTGGGGACTCAAACCCATGTCTTCTAAACTGTGGTACTTGAGCACTGTGCTTTAAGAATTGCACAGAGTACTTTCAGAAGTCAGGAGACTTTAGTTTTAGTTAAAGTGCTGACATTAACTAGCAATAGAAATGTATAATTTCCCCTCAGAGGGTCTCAGTTCCCCCAGTGTCTGTGATCTAGATAATTAATTTGTCAGAATGATCAGCTCTGGAATTTTGGGATATATCTGTATTTCTACCTGAGTGTATGCAGCCTGGCGATGTAGGGATGGCCTAGTGGTACATTTCCCCCTAGTTGAGGCTAATGGCCCAGCACATTTGTGATAGACCTTGCGTCAGACAAAAGTGGCTTGCAGTAAATGGAGTGCAATGGAAAAATATTGAACCAAAAGCTAAGATATCTGGGGTCTGGTCCCAGTATTGACATAACTCATGTGGGACTTTGTACAATACCTTGATCTATTCTGGGCCTTAGTTTTCCCGTGTATAAAATCAAACCGTTGAACTAATATGTGTAGTTACCAGCTATGCTGCTCTAGAATCAATTCCTAGAATTATCTGTTGCTGCTCATCTTCCTATTCAAGAGTCCAGACAGATCATAGTGATATTTATGTTCATTGCCAAGGAGTATTTAACACTAAATGGTTGGACTGTTTGATATTTTCTAAGCAGAGTACAGACTGTGACTTCTGACCAAGAAAAACAGTTGCTGTGTCAGCTCCGAGAAATCACCAGGGTCATGAAAAAAGGAAGATTCACTGACAGGCCCACTCCAGAACAAGAGGCTGAGGAGGCCCCTTACATGGAGGACTGGGAAGGTAAAGTGTCTTCTCCTTTCTCTGTTAGCTGTCAGCCCAGAAAAGAGATGTTATTTTTAATCAGCTTTATTACTGAAGTATAACGTATATATAATAAAATTCATCGATTTTAAGGGTATGGTTGGGTACAGATGTAGAGGTGTGTAATTACACCACAGACATGATACAGAACATTTCCATGTTCCCTCTCCCTTTGCAGCTGATTCCCTCCTTCTGCCGGTGGCTTAGTTTTCATATTTCATATCTTAACAAAATAGGGAAGTAGACATGGATTTATATTCAGAGATCTTAACTGCTATGTTACTTATAAGGGAAGAATGGAGGAATCTTAAGTGTCTCCAGAAGAGGAGGGTAAATCAGATCAGTTCTGTAGCTGTGTGAGGAGATACTGTGCAGCCAGCTTTAAAATGATTGCTGACATGGAGAAATGCTCATTATATAATGTTGAATGAAAAAAAAAAATCAGGTATAACATTTTATATACAGGGTGATCCTTTAAAAAAAAAAAAACATACACACACACACACACACGCTTATATATGGTAAAAAGGCAGAGGTAATGCAACAAATTATCACGGTGGGATTCTAGATATTTTATTTTCTTTCTGAAACTTGTATTTTCAAATTTTCCACAATGAGTCCCTATGACTTTTATAATGAGAAAAACAAACAATAAATGTAAAAAAAAAAAAATAGCTCCATACTCTACACATACCAAAAAGAACCCTTGCTTTTCAGAATTTGTAGGCAGAAGTGGTTTGCGTTTGGGTTGACTCTCCTGATTACTGTAATGTGCACATGGGTTTGGGATCCTCCAGCTTTGCCACACTGAGCAGCGAGCATGCTGCTGCCAGCACGGGCGTGGGCTCCAGCATGGCCCATCTGCTGCTCAGGCTGACACAGATTGATTTCATTTCACTCTCTAATTTGGCAACACTTTCTCTTCCCTCATTATCTAGCTGGGATTCAGAACGTGTTACTAATTTTTTTTTTTTTTTTTACCAGTTTATTGTATTCTTTTGTTTCATTTTGTGAAGATGAAACCACCAATGGGAATCCTGTCTTCTGAAAACACAGCACTGTCCTATGGGATCTTGGGCCGGTCTCGCTAAAGCATTTCTCTGTTCTGACACTTGCCAGCCATTTCAATAGTAGAAGGCTTCCTGGTGTATTTTTCAGAGTTTAGCGTTCCTTCCTTCCACTCCACCCTCCACCCCAGAAAGAAGTGGAAATGGTTCCAAATAGAAATTACAAACAGTAACCTTAAGCTGTGCTCTCTCCATCTGGTGTTTGGTCCTTTCTCTTTTCCACTGAAGGCTCCTGTTGTTTGTTTAATCTTCATGCTGCTGCAGACGTGGAGGTGTGAGAATCACCCTCTGCCCCAAGCACCCTGCTTAAGAAGGGATTTCCATCTGAGGGGGTTTGAATTTATCCAGAGAGCACTGCATAGTCAGCCAGGCGCTTAAGAATTTACTGAAGTGAAACTAGAGCTGTTAGTCATCTGCGCGATTTCTTGAATGGATTTGTAGGAATGGGATGGCTGCTGCCCAAGAAGCCTCTGAGTCTGACATTTTATTTTGAAGAGACATTCTTTGTAAGACCTTTTGCTGCTTTTCTCCTCTAGGTTACCCTGAAGAGACTTATCCAATTTATGACCTTTCAGATTGCATCAAGCGTAGGCAAGAAACAATCCTGGTGGATTACCCGGACCCCAAAGAGCCCTCTGCAGAAGAACTAGCGGAGAGGATGGGAATGCTGGGAGAGTCAGACCCTTTGGGTTGGGAAGTGCCCACTGGCGGCAGAGCCCAGGAAGAGAATCCTGTTACTGCGTGTGACCCGAAGCCAGAGACACGTTCCTGCTGTCTTCACGAGGAAGAGGACCCAGCCTTCTTGGTAGAGAATGCTGGGTTCCTGGCAGACAGTTACAGTGAGCAGGAGGACAGCACCCCGGAAGCCTGGCCCCAGAGCTTCGGAGATGCGCGGCCGGGCGTCAGTGCTGACAGAGCGTGTCCTGGGGGCACTCTGAGGAACCGGAACCCCCAGGGTTTAGAGTGAAAGCAGCCAGTTTGGTGAAGTATCCATTACTCTGGTCTCGAGGTCACCTTTCTCTCCTCTCCAGATTGCACTCTTGGCCCTGTACTTCATTCTCTGTGTTTAAATATTATAGCCAATCAGGTCAGTACCATGGATATCATGCATCCTCCCCGGTGCTCACACACCTGTCACCTGTACAGCATCATAGAGATGAGTAGGAACACAAGACGGCTTTGCTCTTTCTCTCCCTGCCTTTCCTCCATCAGAGAACTGATCCACTGAGTAACGGTTTGCTCTGTCATTATTACAGATGGGACCACTCAAGGCAGAGGTTCGACTCCGTACTGGTGATAACAGGTGGTTTACCTGTGAACAAACATCAGCTTACACATGATGAGGATTTAAGGTTGCAAGAGTGAAAATTTCAGAGTCTGAGATGCCTTATTCTCTGGGCCTTGAGCAGGTTAGTGGTCCCCTGGGTTCAAGGAAAGAACATTTAGTTTTTGGGGACGATGGAGCCAAAGCAGGACTCTGCTGTCCGAGCTGAAGTCACAGCAAGGGCCAGAGGACTCGCACTGACCTGGAAATAAGCACAGGGGCCTGTTGGGGACAGTTTTACTCTGATACTGCCTGGCTCCCTCGCTCCCTTTATCCCTGTGCTGCTTCATAGAACTGCTACACCCACCTCTTGGTCTTGGTCTCCAGCAGCCAGAGGAAGCGTTAGGTGGAGACTTTAGTCCTGGCCCTGCAGAGCCAAGGCTTGAGGCTGCAGGAAAGCCCACCCAGGGTAGTGGTCCTGCCATGAGATGCTCAAGGCCAGTGAGGGGAGTGGGCCATGCATTGATGGACAGCCCTGGCCTCGAAGCACTTTCTGGATGTTGTGCCCTCTGGGAAACTGGTTTCCCAACCACATGCATTGAAACAGAAATGAGGACTGAACTTGTTGACAAAGTGCCAGCCCAGCAGGGAAGTGGCCGAGTGTGTCTGCTGCGGAGAACCAGTGTAGCAGTGCCCAGGGGAAGAGGCATGCATTTGCCTGTGTTCAGATATCTGGGTCCTCTGAGCGAACTGGGGAGTAGGAAGTAGGCTAGGCCCGGAAGGATTTTGACCAAACTACAGGCCTGATTTCAAAGCTGCCATCTGTGTTCTTGAGACAGGATGAGTGAATCCATTTCCCATGGTAGACCCGAGGGTTTAAAGAGGATGCATTCCCGAGGACATTCCAAGTCATGAAATTTGGAAGATTTGAAAATTAAGACACTATGTAAAGGTAGATATGGCACAAGATGCCAGGAACATATTTAATCACACAACCTGCTGTCAGAAGGTATGGGATCATATTAAGTTTAGCTACTATTAGACATTTATTGGGTTTTTTTAAATATATATTTTATTGATTTTGTACAGAGAGGAAGGGAGAGAGATAGAGAGTTAGAAACATCGATGAGAGAGAGTCATAAATCAGCTGCCTCTTGCACACCCCCTACTGGGGATGTGCCCGCAACCAAGGTACATGCCCTTAACCGGAATCGAACCCGGGACGCTTCAGTCCTCAAGCCGACGCTCTATCCATTGAGCCAAACCGGTTTCAGCTAGACATTTATTGTTAATGAAGTGCAGAGAAGTCATTGAAGATTGAGTTTATAGAAAGCATACTGCATCTGTCTTTGTGTGGGACATTTGATTCACTTGTAACACATGCAGTTTAAAATGTACTGAAAACCATCTAGATGTAATGCTCAAAGTAAAAAAATAACGTAGGTGCTCTATTGTTTCAATAAGTTGTTTTCCATGTTATGTCCCTTCATTCACAGGGGTTGATTTACTAAGAGTTCTGGGTCCCTGTTTCAGATTTCTTTTTCTGCCTTAGGCTATGATTCCTGTATTAGAGATGCATATGTTTCCTTCTAGTTTTCAACTCATTTATTCATCTGGCAGACATTCCCAGAGGCAGGCAATGTGAACGGAAGGCTCAATTTCTATGTTTTAAAGACTCAGTTTAATGGGGGAAGCCTTATCCAATTTATTTTAATGAACTATAATAATAAAAGGGTAATATGCTAATTAGACTGGAAGTACTTCTAGACAAACCCAGGGCTGGAGCGAAATAGGTGCTGGCAGCCGGGGGAAAGAAGGCCTACTCTTGCACAAATTTTCGTGTATCAGGCCTCCAGTACACTATAAAAGGACTCAGCTCCTGAATTCTGCAGGCAGCGCGATGGCAGTCATGAATCCACCCGTCTGTTCTGACTGGAATCTTGTCAGCTCTTTAAGCCTTCTGTCTGGGCTCTTGTCTCTAAAGCAAGGGTCTAGGTCTCCCAGGTGGTTATGAGTATTAAATAGCATCATCCGTGTCTGTAAACAGCCTTGGTCCTACATGACAGCCACTCAGTAAATGGTAGCTGTGGTTTTATGCTTGAACGAGACAGGGACCCAAATCTACAGGAAAACAGAGACCATATTTGCCAAATTACTTCCAAGAAACTTCACAGAGGGGATGGATCTTGAGGCACAGGAAGCACTTCTCCAGTGAACAAGGAAGAGAAGGCATCCTCGGACAAAGTACGTGGATGTTCAGGTATTTTGATGGGCTGCTATGGAAGGAGGTGTTACATAACAAGTCTGTATTTGAATGTTAATCTTTGGGGAAAACTGGCTATGGAAGGAGGTCCTGCCAGATGTACTCCGACCTCCTGATGCCTCTTGCTGCCCTACCCCTTGCTTGACTTATTAGCAGGAATATATTTATAGCCAAAATTTTTGTACTTCCAATCTTTTTAGATTAGGCAGCCGAGGTAGGAGGCCCGTTTGGCCTCTAGAAAAGGTGGTGGGGTTGTGGTCCAAATGGGGACACTCAGGAAAGGGAGCTTTAATAACAACTATGCCAGGAAAATAGATATAAACCAGGACTGTCCTGACCATTAAACAATAAAAACCTCTTTCCTTTTCCACAGCACCCCCTTCCCCCTGTGTGCTGTTTCCCACAGGCAGAACTGAGGAGACAGGCCCGGTTCATACAGGAAATGCTTGTGGCTGCAGAAAAACAGAGGGTTATAAACCAATCCTCCTTATGACCACCTTCTTAAATTACATTTCAACCCACACTACACTCCAAAGAAAAATCTAGTACTTCAGCTAGTCAGCAGTATTGAGAAGAAAACATGAAGTAGCCATGATGTTCCCTTGACTACACAGATCTTTCTAAAAGGCACCTAACCTTTCCTCACTTTTTTCACAAGCAGGACAAACTTATCCTTTTCCTTGGATTATTCCTTCTCTGGACATTTATGAATTTGGAGTTACCCACCTTGCAAAGCTGTCTGTCCCAGGTGTCGCAACAGCTTCCTCCCTGCCACCCTTCAGGGCTGTCAGACCGGACGCCCTCCACGGCTATGGATGACTTACCTTCCGTGTCTGCTTCCAGCCACCACTGCAGCCTCCCTTGTGCTTGGCTTCAGGCCTGCCACAGGCTGACAGGAAGTTCCCACGCATGTCCGAGTCCTGTTTAAACAGGGGAGGCTCCAGGTAGGGCCAGGCCCTCATGGGCACTCAGGAACCAACAGCCTCCTTCCGGCTGGCACAGCTGACCCTGCGGAGGGTGGTTCTAATGCACACGCTTCTGTCCTTACCGTTCTTCCAGCCCTTGCCAGCCTCTGCGTGCGGTTCTGCCAGCCTTAAACTTGAAGAGCCCAGGCCAGAGGGAGAACAGCATAGACCCACCTGTCGTTACCACCATCCTCCGCCGCCTCCCTGAGGCTCGTAAGGATTGAATGCTGTAGAAAAAGAACTTTTAGGTAAAAAAAAAAAAAAATGTGGGTTTTTTTTCTCCTTTTATAGGAAAAAGATTACACAATAGTGTTGAAATAGTTCAAGTTTAATTTGATGATATATGGTCTGTACTTAGACAAACAAGTTATACAACATACATAACATGGGAAAATACCAACTTTGTCATTGCACATACCAATAAATAAATACATTTGCTCCAGAATACCAAAGAGTTTATTCAAAAAGTCAATAAAAGCACAGTTTTGCAAGTTCATCTAAAACTCCAGATAATCTTGAACAAAAATAAATGTTTGACCACTCCAAAATAGGAAAAGACGGTCTTGTGCAAATAGACAAACACATTGTAAGCGCTATGAAAACTGGCTGTGTTCTCAGCCACCCTGACCCAGACCCCTTCGTCACCAAACAGGAAAGGGCCAGAGTCGGGCTCCCTTTCTGCGCCACTCCGGTCACTCTAGGACTCTCACCAGCCTCGTCCCGGCTCTGCCTGGACCTTGATTGGGCGGGGGCGGGGGGGGGCAACCAATAGAACAGAAGAGGGGAGGGGTGTGACATGAGCTAGAAACGGTGGCGATGAAAGCAAGGGTCCACTCCCAGCCACCCTGATTCCCAGCCTCCTGTTTGCTCAAAATCACATACTAGTAGCCACAAAGTACAGGAATGCTTTCTGTAAGACCAACTTGCTTCTCAGCTTGGTTGGAAAATTAAAAAGCCAAACCTGTCCCAGTACTTCTGCTTGCCTCAGCCCTGTATCCTGAAATGACAGAAAACTTGGAAGTATGAGGGCAGGTGACTATCAATAAACTCAAGCCAGAGCCCATCCTTTGGCCTGTTCCTGGGGCTGCGACAAGTTCAACAAGCCAGAGCCCAGGGGAGTCAGGCCCACGCAAGCCGGGCACCACGGGGAAGACTCGCTCAGCTAGCTGGAGCGGTGTGCTGAGTCACACCATACCCCGGGAGGGTGAGGACTTCTGGAGGGGAAGGCCAGTGTCGCTGAGTCAGGGGAAACCAGGACTCCGCCGGGGAGATGGGATTTGTGCTTGCATAACAGCCACAGATGTGCTAGGCCAGCATCTCCCTCCCTGCAGACCCCACCGGGGAACGCACGGAGCGCTCGGTGTGAAGTCAGCGCCGTTGCTCAGTTTAGAGGCCAATGCCCTGCCCTGCTCTTTATAGACAAAGAAAAACTTAGACAATTTTCTTGCCCTTTTTGGGAGGCGGACTCCAAAGACCTTCACGCCTGCAGTTATCATACTCCCAGCACTGCCCACAGCATGGTGGGCCCTTACGTGCTCCTCCCGAACTAGCCGTGTTTTCTAAGGCACAGGCACTAGAATACGCTCAGGCTCATCCAAAAGCGTGCACACGACACAGGTGTCCCGGGTAACGCAGAAGGGAACTGACACCTTCCTCTACCAGGTTTCCCAATCCACCTGGGAGACGCGCTTCTTAACAGCCCGAATGGCATGAACAGTCTGCATCCTTATCCCTTTCCTGCTCATTCTCAGAAACAAACTTCAGTTGATTCTTAGCAGATTGCCCTTTTCCCCAAACACGCACAGACACAGAGATGCAGACAGACACAGAGCACCTTGGAGCCAGAGGAAAGAAAAAGACGAGGCAGAAGTGAATGTCGCCACTGCAGAAGAACTGTTCTGGGCAGAGGGTGTAGAGGTTTGGGGTGTGGCCCCAAAAGGAGCCCACGGAGCCAGGAGCAGTCCCAGAAGGGGCGCCTGCTGTCCCACACCCACAGGAACTGCCCATTCTATCACTGAGTACTGACCAAGGGCCATCTGGGCGGAGGGCAAGAACTCTTACTATGGAGAGGCAGGGTCCTGGCAGCTTTGAGTCTTTGGGCCCACGGCTCCTGGGTGTGCGTTCGTGCGTGCGTGCGTGCGTGCGTGTGTGTGTGTGTGTGTGTGTGTGTGCATGTATGTATGTATCCTGGAGCCAGAAGTCCAGGACAGCCAGACTATAAGAACAGACTTGAGGCTGGGTCTCGAGCAGGTGACAACTGTTCTTGTTTATCACTCAATGCCCAACACAGGGTCTTGTTGCTAAGCTACCCTCTGCACAAGCAGCGAGCAGTCGGCCCACATTCTGGTCCTACCAAAACACAGCCAGCCCCGGATCCCGGCTCGCGCGCCGGAGGAGAAAGCGGGAGTTTGCCGTTGTGCTTCTGGTTCCTCCATGCTGCCCCCAGGATCCCCTCTCACTAGGATACAGCACCAGCTGTTCTGCCTTAAAATCACACTCAGAGAAACAGCGTGACCAGACAGCAGAGATCATCTGGTTTCCATCATCCCAACTGGCAACAGGTCTCTTCCCCACGTCAGGAGCCAAACGGACCATGGGAAAGAGGAGGGCACCACAAGGTTTCCCCGGGAAGTGGGCAGCCCTCTACAGAAGGCCCCGTGCCCGCGGGATGGTCCCACCGGGAGGCCTCAAGGAAATGCCGGGTGTGGGCGATCCGGGCTGACAGACAACCTGCTCTGAGTATCCTACGGGAACCGGTACTTCAGGGAAATCCGAGCACACTGCCTCCACCCGGGTCAGAACAGCTCCTTCACCTCACGGCAGACCTCACTGACAGGTTTTTAAAGCATCCATTTCTACCCAGCTTCCCAAGCACATCTACTCTGACGGGAGGAACCACTGCTTGCTTCCCACTGACCTACTCTCCATCGGGGTCAGTAGCCTCTGCAGAGTGAACCAGGGAAAATGACAAAAAGGCAAGAGGGAGAAGAGGATGTTGGGGGAGGGAGAGATCGGGCCCCACCCTGCACATGCACTGCCCAGCACACCCACATGCGAAAATGGGCAGCAGCCTCGCCAGGCCTGCTCTCTGGGGGAAGCCAGACACAGGTCAGTCCTGATCCGTCTGACGTGCAAAAGGCGAGACAGCTTTCAGCAGGGAACTGCCAATCCACTGAAATAGTTTCCATTTCAGTCTATAGCCTCCCCACCCCAAACACGCACCATCTCATCTGGGGCGAGAGCATCAGGACTGGGCCCCAAGAAGGCCCGAAAGCCATAGAAAAAGGTTTTTTTGGGGGGGATGGTGGGAACATAGAAATCCAGGGAGCTGAGGCTCTGACTCGGCCACTCACCAGCCAGGTGACCCCAGGCCAGTACTGTTTTTTGAGTTGTACTAGTTGATCTCTAATAGTCTTGCCACCTCTCATCTGTAGTGATTCTGCAGTACGCCTGCCCTCCCCAGCCTGTCCCATCCTACCGGGGACCACACAGGGCGGCTGTCAGCAGCCACGACCTCGGCTCACGGCAGCAGGAGCTGAAGCCCAGGCAGAGCACCTGGAGCTCACACCAGCCCCGGCCCGGGCACGCCTACCTGTGTGGATTCGGGCTGGTGACGTAGGCCGTCCATGTTTCCTGTACAGGCTGCTGGGGAGAGCTCCCAGGACAGCCTGGTCCAGGATGCCTGTCCATGCACCTCCCGTATGATGAGCCTGTGTCCTGCAGGCCCCATAAGACAGCTGGCCTTGAGGGCTGGCCGCCTGCTGCCTCTGTGCACAGGGAAAACCTAGAGAAATCAAATGCACTAGAACCCGAGGCCACCAGGCAGTTCCCACCGCCAGGCCCCTGCAACCTTGACAGGGTCCTGCCACTGACCCTTCCCCTACCTGTGACCTCTCCCAGGCTTGGCTGAGGCCTGCTGAGGTCAGGGACTTCCTGCAGCTAAGGGCCAGGCTCGGCTACCAAGCCCTCTGCTGTGTGACGGTGGCGGCCCTCCACACCCACACTCACTGTGCCCCTCCCTGTGGGGGTCCGGGGTCGTGGACTACTGGTGGAGTGGGTGGCTGGGCCGCAGCAGCCCGGCATTGTGCTTCCTCTCTCTACACCTCTTCCTGCCTTCGCAGCTTGGCAAACACGGCCGCAGCAGGACGCTAACCCAAGACTGGGTGCGTGTGTGGCTCCTGGGGCACAGAAAGAATTCACTGTGGGCCCTTGACACACACCCCACTTCTCTGCCTCTCCGGGGAGGCGGCGGGGCCAGGGGGCCCGCCGAGAGCCACGGGTCCATCGGCAGGAGGCCTATGTACAGGGGGCGGGCGGGCGGGCAGGCAGCTCCACTCCGGGCTGGGCAACCCCTCTATTCACAGGCCAGCTTGCTGTCGAAGCTGGACAGGGCGATGGAGAAGGCCTGCAGCGCGCACAGCGGGTAGTTGTAGTCCATGGTGAACACGTCCTCCGCCACGCGGCCAAACTGCATCACGATGTAGTCCGCTGCAGCCAGGCACCGTGCAGGCAGGAGCAGAGTCGGGACGGGAGAGACGGGAGAGACAGACAGACAGACACCCGGGTCACAAGGTGGAAGATGCAGCGAGAGGCAGAGGTGCCCGGGGACTCTCCCGGGAGGTGAGACAGACCAGCTGGGGGAAGGGCAGGACAGAGGGGCATACAGATACCAGGCGATGGGGGCGAAGAGAGCCATTCCCACCCTGAGGTGGTCCTCCCGGTCGGTCTCCCAGGCGGCGCGTTCTCTACGGCTAATCTAAGCTGTGCGGCCCCATCCTCCGCACCGGCCGCAGGGCCGGGCCTGGCGGGCACGCGGGCAGCCTCGCCTCGGGGCGGACACTCACGGTCGTTGCCGTGGATGATCTGGAAGTTCTTCACGGAGGCCTGCGTGACGCGCCCGTGGAAGTTGAGAACGTAGGACTGCGTGTCGTCATTCCAGACAGGCGTCTTGTTTTGCAGCTCGATGATAGTCTCCATGTTCTTGTTCTGCCAGCGCGCCAGCAGCGTCTCGTGCTCCTGGGAGAGCAGCCTTGCTGAGCCAGGCCCGGCCTTGGCTCCGTGACCGGCCCGGGGCCGTGGGATCGGGCCCAGGCCTGGGGGTCCTCAGCTTTCCCCATGCAGAGGCGGGGGGGTGGGGGGGAGGGCGGGGGGAGGCAGGTGTAGCCGGGGAGAAACTCACGTTGCGAGGCCGGATACAGACTCTCTCGTGAACCATGTTCATGCCTGGGACAATCACCGTCATCTTCCGCGGTCCCTTAAAACCTAAGACGTTAGTCTCCTGGGAAACAGAGAACAGTGGCCACCTGAGGACTCGCCTTACTGGGGAGGCTGGAGGAAGGGAAGAGAGAGGAGCTAGTTCTCGCCATCTCCATCCTGAGCATCTAACGGGATCTAAACTTAGCACGTCCAGACGCCAACTCCCGAGTCCCTGCCCTAACTAGCTCCCCGTACAGTCCTCTTTGCTTCACTCAACAGCAAGTCAGCAAACTACCCGGGGTCATGCCTGACTCCTCTCTCTCACACCCCACCTTCTAATCCATCAGCTAAAGCTGCCAGCTCTACCTTCAAATTACATCGAGAACCCGGTCACTCCCACCACCGTCTCACTGAGCTCACAGTAAAACCTCCGTGGACTCCTCCTCCCCCTCCCTGTCCCCTGCTCTCCACACAGCAGCCAGTGGTCCTGTTAAGCCACGTCATTTTCCTCTCAGTTCAGAGTAAAAGCTGAACCCGTTACCCCCAGGGCAGCTCTTACGCTCCCTGCACCCGCCACCCTCCTGGCTGTTCCCCGTGTGCCAGGCGTCTGTGTGGGCCTCTCCCCAGCACCCACACGGCTGGCTCTCACTCCTTCTGGGCTTTGCCCCAGTGCCACCTTGGGGAGGCCCTCCCTGCCACCCCCCTAAAAGCTCGCTCGCTCTCTCTCTCTCTCTCACACACACACACACACACACACACACACACACACACCTGGACACTTCACAGCCCTCCCCCCCCTTTTTTATCTATAAATTTATATATATATATATATATATATATATATATATATATATATATATTATTGATTTTTAACAGAGAGAGAAAGGGAGAGAGAGAGAGAGCTAGAAACGTCGATGAGAGAGAAACATCAACCAGCTGCCTCCTGCACATCCCCTACTGGGGATGTGCCCGCAGCCAACGTACATGCCCTTGACCGGAATCGAACCCGGGACCTTTCAGTCCGCAGACCGACGCTCTACCACTGAGCCAAACCGGTTTCGGCTTTTTTTTTTTTTTTTAATCTTTGCATTTATCAGGAACAAATATTGCTTTTGTCTATTTTATAGCTTATCTCCTTAAACTAAGGGTTTAAGTCCCATAAGGGTATATGTTTATGTCTCTTGTTCATTATTATACTCTCAGTGCCTCAAACAGTACCTGGAACATAGTTGGGGCTCAGTAGTTTAAGAGACCCAGACTGCCTCCCTAAAACTGACCAGCAGGTGGCACCACATGATCATACAAAACAGCCAGACGGGTATGGACTCCCAATTAGCCCAAGTTGATGGGGGTACCAATCCCTCATTTTAAAATGAAGTGAAATCCGTTGTAATTTCTGGTTGGTCTGAGCTGTGTGACACTGGCTAGTGACCCACCTCTGAGCTTCAGTTTCCTCATGGATATAATTAAAAAAATAATACGTCTGAGCTCTTAGACTGAGCCTTCAGTAAGATAACGAGGGCCTTTCGCCCATCAGGACACTAGAGGGAGGAGTGGAGGGATGCACAAACAAAAAGCCAGGTCTCCGGCCCCTCCTCTGCAGGAGGCTCTGGGGCTGGGCTCTCCCAGGCAGATGGCCCCCTGGGGTCTGCACTCAGAGAGAGGAGAGGGCCTGGGGACAGCCCACCTCCCTGCAGCATGTCTGCACAGGGACGGCCCACAGATCAGGCAGCCAGTCCTGGCCATCACATCCTACTTGGGGACCAGAGACCCAGGAGCCGGACTCACGTAGCACACGGCGGCCAGCTCCTGGCGCAGGGTCCCGCCTTCCAGCGTAGAGGAGGACGCCTTCTGGGGGTTGACTCCATTGTCATAGACGGTGAACTTAGTGCCCATGAGGTTGGATCTGTAGGGCAGGCACGATCAGTACGGGTCACCCACCCTCTGCCCAGGGCAGCAAACAGCTAACAGTCTGTCCTCTGAGGAGCCTGCAAAGCATTCTGGGCGAAGCCAGCAGCCAGTGTGGGGGCACACGGCTCACTGACGCCCCATCTCAAAGAGCAAAAGGCCTGGACTTGCTCCGAGTTGAATCAAAGAACCTCTTGGTTCAGGGGTAAATTCAGGGAAGGAAGTCAGGGTGCCACAGAGTGTCTCCCTGGAACAGCTGTGACCAAGTGGAACGGCAGCTGGCAAGACCGCAGAGGGGACACAGCGCGCCATGCAGACTGGGCAAGCTGGCCCGTCCCATCCAGCCTGAGTCCTGGTCCAGCCCCATCTCCACAGCTTTGGCTCCTTACCGCTCAGCTTGACTTATGCTCCCCAAATCTGGCCCTCCATTCCTCAGCAAACCCTCCTCCCCGAGGCTGGCTCAGAGCCTTCCTCTCCCCATGGTGGTTCTTTGTCCTGTCAAAGCCTCACTCTCGGCCCTGCCCCTCAGCACTGACCACGGCCAACATGCCTTCGTGGTGGCCCACATCATCAGTGACCTGCTGGGGCTTGATCCGTCCTCAGGGGGGGCGGGGGGAAGGGATGTCTTTGCCCCATCCGGCTGGGAGCAGCCTAGGGTGGGTGTGAGGCCCACCTACAAGTCCGGCTCCAGCCGGCAGAGTAGGATCTGAGGGACAGAGGACCCGAGGAGAGGATCTGACTCCCGGCCTGGATCTCCTCCCCCTGGAGAGCCTGCCCACCCCAGCCTGGGGGAGCGCGCGCTGGTACCGCAGTTTCCCGATGTAGCTGTCCCCGCCTCGAGACAAGTCCGTGGGGTCCACGGAGATGAGGTAATTGGATGTTTTGCTCTTCTTCCTTTTCCTTCCCGCCAGGAGGAACACCTTGGGGGAGCAGAGTGAGTTATACTCCAGACCCAGCCTCTGACTGCACACAATCCCGGTGCTGCTCACACACTGCACTCACACAAGGCACTGGCCCTTCCTCGCTTCAGTTCCTGAACACAATGTGCTCACACAAAGGCACACACACAGGTACACTTAATAGCAGTACAAAGGCGTGCGCACAGGTACACACTCTGGCAGCACAGAGGTGTGCACACAGGTACACACTCTGGCAGCACAAAGGCGCGCACATGGGTACACGCACTGGCAGCACAAAAGTGCGCACACAGGTACACGCTCTGGCAGCACAGAAGGGTGCACACAGGTTCACACACTGGCAGCACAGAGGTGTGCACACAGGTTCACGCACTGGCAGCACAGAGGTGTGCACACAGGTACACGCACTGGCAGCACAAAAGTGCGCACACAGGTACATGCTCTGGCAGCACAAAGGTGAACACACAGGTACACGCTCTGGCAGCACAAAAGTGCGCACACAGGTACATGCTCTGGCAGCACAAAGGTGAACACACAGGTACACGCTCTGGCAGCACAGAAGGGTGCACACAGGTTCACACACTGGCAGCACAGAGGTGTGCACACAGGTTCACGCACTGGCAGCACAGAGGTGTGCACACAGGTACACGCACTGGCAGCACAAAAGTGCGCACACAGGTACATGCTCTGGCAGCACAAAGGTGAACACACAGGTACACGCTCTGGCAGCAAAAAGGTGAGCACACAGGAACATGTTCTGGCAGCACAAAGATGAGCACACAGGTACACGCTGGGGCAGCACAAAGGCGCACTGACCAGGCACGAGGGCCTGTCTCCGGGGGAGCTGAAGGCAGGAGTGGGATCTGAGGCTGCGGTCACATCCCAGCCCGCGGCCCTCAGGCCTGCAGGTGAAATGCACGCTCCGGCCGCCTCACCTTCTTTCCGTCCTCTCGGTCCAGGTGTAGGAAGTAGGTGGGGTACATCCCCCGGTCCATCCCCTTCTTGTCCCTCGAGATGCGGCACTTGATGGTGATGCCCTGGGGAGCCGGCCTCTGTGCAAACTCCTCCAGATCCTGGACCTCAACTTCTGCCGAGGGCTCGGGGGCTGTTGGGCTGAGGGCTGAAGCTGCCTCCTACAGGGCAGAGGGGACCCCGAGCAGCTGAAATTGGGGTCTGGAGTCCAGAGCTGACCCTTTATGTGGTGGTGGCGGAGAGGAGACACGGGCCGTGGGTGCGGGCCAGACTCACATAGGGGTCAGCAGCTGGCTTCCCACCCTCCCTCCCTCAGCATCCCTGGGGGTAGAGCTGGAGGACAGGGCAGGCTCTTAGATCATCCTGCCCACCTCCAGTTCCCCCACCCTCCAGGCCTGGGAAGAGGACCAGCCCACTGCCGTCCACCTACTCACCCTGACGGACTTCCTGCTAGTGGCGGAGCTGGGGCGGGTATTGCTGTTTAGCTGGGAGGAACTGGAGCTGTATTCCTCCTCATCCTCCTCTTCCTCCTCAAAGCTCATGCTACTGGAGATGCCTGGCAGGAAGGAGCAGGATGGGAGGCGTGGTCACACACACACACACACACTCACACACACACACCCAGGCAGGAGCAGGATGGGAGGCGTGGTCACACACACACACACACACACACACACACACACACACTCACACACTCACACACACACCCAGGCAGGAGCAGGATGGGAGGCGTGGTCACACACACACACACACACACACACACACTCACACACTCACACACACACTCACACACACACCCAGGCAGGAGCAGGATGGGAGGCATGGTCACACACACACACACACACACACACACACACATACACACCACACACATCCAGGCAGGAACAGGATAGGAGGCATGGTCACTCACATGACACACACACACACCCACCCACACACACACCGGAGCAGGGCAGGAAGCATCGTCACTCACACACACTCTCACACACACACACACACACACACACACACACACACGGGCACGAGCAGGGCAGGAAGCATGGTCACACACACCCCCAGACGCCTGTTCACAGGTACCGCATCACCCCAGGCCTTAGGTGCACACACACATTCACACAATGCCCAGTGACGTCCCGAGGTACACAAGGGCACACTCTCAGGTACGTGCTGGGACTGGTCACGGTTGTTGGGGTCTGTGCCCCCCTCTCCAAGCTTCAGGTCAGTCCCCCTGACCCCTCCTCTCCGGCACCCGCAACGCCTGCCTCCTGTGTGGCAAGGCCTGGCGGGCGGGCCCTGTGCTGGGAGCCTCCGTGGCCCCAGGCTTCCCGGAGGCCTCGGCGAAGGGCAGGGCTGACTCCTCCCCTCCCAGCCTGGGAGGTCCTGCCTGTGCTTCTCCCCACTCAGTGCCCTCCCTCTCCAGCCTCCTCCTGATTCCATGAAATGGGGCATGGCTCGGCTTCCCTTGGCACCCACCCCCGCCCCCGCCCATCAGGGGCTCCCCGGGGGCAGGTTCCTAGGATCCACCCGCCTCTCAGCACGCCGGCCCCCTCTAGCTCAGCAGACAGGGAACATGTTACAAAAGCATCTTTCAAAGGAGCCAACGGGAGCGGAAACCTTCCCCAAAGCCAGGGCCTCCCTGGGGGCAGCTGGTAGGAGTGGGGGAGACAGGGCTGGGCTGTGGGGTGGCTGGTTACCCGGGTTCATACTTCTTTCCCCGAACGTGGCCTCCTTAGGGGCCCTGCCCACAGCTCCCATCGGTCTCCTGTGCCTCGCACGGGGTTTGGGAACCTGGGACTGAGCTTTGGGGGTGTCACTGGGCCCCCACGGGGCTCACCCTTCCTCTGCATCGTGGCACGGAGGTCCTGCCCGCTGGGCGCTGTGCCCCCGCCGGCTGCCGTCGCCCCTGCATCCTGGGCGGGGTCCAGCCGGCCCACCGTCAGGATCTGCACGGGGCCTCGCGCCTCAGTCTCGTCTTCGGCCAGAGCGGCTGGCCCGCCGGCGCCTGCAGGCCAGGACACTGCTGAGTCCCGGAGGCGGGGAGGGGCGGGGGGAGAGCTGGGCCCACAGACATCCACAAAGTGGGTGAGGGCCGAGGGGGCACCCTCTGCAGAACTTTGCTTGCAGAACTGACGTTTAAAAAACTAAGGATGGCTGTCGGCCTCTTAATGATCGGCACGCTCTGAAGGGACCCGGGTTCTGTCTCTTCCGCTGTCAAAATTGGTTTGAAACGCCTCATATCCCTAGGCAGACGGCAGCCACTGACAAAGCCAGCTCATAGCGAGAAAGACTGGACAGAGAACAAGGACCATCCACACCACACGAGGCCCCCATGCGCTCACGGACGTGGCCAGCTACGAGCCACCAGACCCACAGTCAGCTCACACGTCAGCTAAAGCACACGGGCCCTTCGGAACGGCCGAGGCTGGCACACACGCCCTCCCACACGGAGGCTCTCCCATCCAGGTCCCCTTCCTCCCCTGCCACAGCGCCCGCGCCTGAAGCGAGGCCTGGCCCCGCGGTGGCAGCTGCCCACCGGGCAGGCTGTGTCCAAAAGCCTGTGGCCCTGATACCCACCTTCCCACCAGGACCAGAAGCCTGGCAATCGCCAGGCACACCCGGGGTTGGGGAAACGAGATGTCCAGCCCACAGGAACCGGCCTCAGGGAGGGGGCCGGCGTACCTATCGGGGGGGCTTTTGGAGAGGAGCAGGGGGACTGTCTGTGGGCCTGAGGGTGTTGCTGAGACAGGGAGCGCGAAGGCCCAGGAGGACTGGCTCGGATGGAGGCAGAGGGCTCTCGGGCTGGGCGGGGGAGGGGCTTCGTGGGCCGTAGCTGAGCTGGACTTCCCCTCCTGGCAGTATGGAGGGCCTGCCCTCACCCCCCGGCCAGCCCAGGTGCCCCGTGAGCTAGATGGGGCCTGTGAGCCAGCTGGGCGGGGCCCTGAGTGCCATTTGGTGCCCCCACCCCCTGGGGCCTCCCCCGTGTCCCTGGCCTTCAGGTGGGAAGGTAAGCCTCCGACCCTCCAGGGCGGGGTCAGGGGGCAAGCCAACCTTTGTGCTTCCCCTTGTTCCCCTTCTTCGAGGCGGCCGCGGCCTTGGTCCTCTTGGCTGAGGCTGGTGCTGTTGGGCGGGCAGCTCCCAGCTGCACAATGGCAAGTGGGTCGGCCTCGTGAACTGCGGAGGAGAGGGCCGGAGACAGAGAGGGAGAGACAGAGAGAGAAGGAGAGACAGAGGGAGAGGGAGAGACAGAGGAAGAGGGAGAGGGAGGAGAGAGACAGACAGACACAGGCCCTGGGTGAGACCAAGCCCCGACTCACACACTTCCCAGCACGTCCTCCAGCCTCCCCAACCCAGCAGGCCTCCGCACCACCCATCCCTACCAGGCAGCCTGCCCACACCATGACCAACCAAGCAGCGTTCACAGCTCCGGGCCAGCCAACTGTTGGAGCTGGGGCAGGGGAGGGAGGGAGTGTGTCTGGGATACGGTGGGTGAACCCAGAAAAGGCTGCATCTCTTGGAGGAGACCACCCCTGGGGCCACGCTCCAGGGCCCTCGCTGCCCTGAGGGGACGAGGCCGAGGTGGCCCGGGGTGCAGAGCGCCCTGCGGCAGGAGAGACGTCCCGGACACCCCGAGCGCCCCGAGGCCTCGGGCGGGTCCCAGCGGGCGGCCTCCAGCTTCTCACACGAGAACCCTAGCTGCTCCAAGTCCCAGAACCGCTTCTCTCTGCTCCTAAGGTGAAGACCATCATTCTCCTGCGAGTCTGGTCCTCCATCTCCCTCACCTTGGCCTTGGCCTTGGCCGGAGCGTACACTCCTCACTTCCCGGGCCCAAGTCCCAGCCACACGGAGCTCTGTGCACACTGGACTCCCTCCGGCCTCAGGGGCCTCCTCTCGCTGTCCCACTGCCTCCCGATGTGCGCCCCCACCCCCACCCCTATCCGCTAACTCCCACTCCTGCAGATTCCAGCTCCTCGGCAGCCTGGGAGCAGGGCTCTGCGGCTCACACACACAGCTCCCCACAAGCACCCCTGTGACCACCCGTTTAACTCTTTCCCTCTCAGGCCATCGGGGGCCACACCCGCTGTGCTCACCCGGACTGCCAGCTCTAACCTGGAAGCTGACACACAGTAGGCCCTCAGAATAAATACTTAGGAATCGGATGAACAGACCACAGTTCTGGGGACAGAGGTCCTGGGCGTGGAGCAGCCAAGGTGAAGTTGCAAGAGACCTGGGTCTGTAATTTTGTATTTAACCCCAGGAGCCAGCAGGAGGCAGAGCAGGAGAAAGCTGGTGCTGCAGGGAGGACGGGTGCTCCAGGGAACACCAACCCCAGGCCAGCCAGCTGCAGGGGCAGCAGCCTCTGGGCCGTGTCCACCTCAGAGCCCAGCAGGAGAAGCAGCAGGACCAGCCCGGCTTGGACCCTCACGATAGACCTTGAAACACAACGGCTGCTTCAACATTCAAAATCTGGAGAGAACTTTCCTCCCTGACAGGAGACAAGCCCAGAAGGTCAGCGACTTGCTCAGTCACAGGTGGGCTGGGAGCAGCGTGACCAGGAAATGCCTTCTGAGTCTGGCCTCTCATGCAAGCCTGGCACACGTTCCGTGCTCAAGAGGCACCTGCCAACATGACTGCGCCTCGGTGACTTCTCAGACTCTCTCAGAGCCCCAGGTGTTGGCCTGCGGCCCAAACTGGCAGGGCCTGGAGTCCCAGGAGCAGCCTCGATCGGTCAGGTGCCGGGCCTGGCAGAGCTGGACCTTCCGCAGCAGGTGCCTTCCCTGCAGGGCACCACGGCCCCTGGGGACAGTGCTCAGGGAGGAAGTGCGAGGAGGGGGCGGCCTGGGCCAGGTCTGCGTGGAGCAGCCGGAGCTGGCTGTCCGAGGCAGCAGCGTGGCTGAGGTCCCTGTCCCGTCCTGTGCAGGGCCTCGTCGGTGGAGTGGCGCCATACCAGCTGAACGGAAGCCCACGCAGGACAATCACGGACAGGCCTCCCTGTCGGGAAGGTGACACACACGGTGGCAAGGCCGTTCGGAGTCTGACAAGCCTGGGTGCACGGCCTCGTCCTGGTGCTCAGAGCAATGTGCCACGGACAAGTCGGTGACCCCCGGGAAGTCCAAATGCTTATGGACCACGTGGGGATGAAGAGTTGCGAGGGAACGCAGGCAGAGCACCCAGCGCCATGCTTAGCCACCAGCAAGTGCCTTGATTATCAAGCATGAGTGGGTTCCCTCACCGGGACGAGGGCACACAGAGGGCACAGAGCTTGTCCAGTGCCAAGCTGTGCCAAGGCTGGGCACTAGGTGCTGCCCTCCAAGGCACAGAGAAGGGGACCCACTGTGCTCAGAACCTGACACACTGTGTGCCGGGCTGTGGAGAGGGCCCAACAGCCAGAGGAGAAAGGTCAGCCCTGAGCTGAGGCAACAACAGGAGCTCCGAGGGGCTGGTGCTGCTGGACCGGAGGAAGCCGCAGAGGAGGGGGGCGCCACGGTGGCTGCGGTTCCTCCCAACTGCAAAAGCCAGACACCACCTTTCAGAGCCACCCTCTGACAGAGGCGGCACTGGGACTGCCTGCACCAGCAGGGGGCAGTGGCGCTGCATCTGAGTCCTCCTTAGTGATCATAGAGACCAACCCTCTGCTCAGCCTGGGGCACCCTTCCCCTGGCCTACAGGTGGGTCCTGAGCTCAGGGAGGCAATGGAGCCCCCTCCCCCACCCCCAGGATGAGCTCTGCTGACAAGCAGAGAGCGGAGATGGGAGAGCCGAGGCTGCTGGTCTCCATGGTCAGAAGCCGGGGTGACGGAGGCGTGGGGGCCCAGGGAGGGGAGGCAATAGGTGTCCCGCAGGAGGCACTGGCTGGTGCGGGTTGTTGAGGTGGATTCCTCCAGGAGGCAGAACACCGGGGAGCAGACCTTCTGCTCCTCGGAACCGCCTCCTGCTCTCGGTGAAAGTCTCCTGATCAGAAGCCTGGACACTTGAACTCCCAGATCAACCAAGTTTTAGCTCCTGGCTCCAGCACCTGAGCCAGGAGCCCAAGGTTCCAGGCCCCAGCCTCCCTCCACCGGCCCCACCCAGCTGTGGGCTCGGGCTGGGAGCCCCGCTCAGCCTGGAGGCACCCTGACGGAGGACCCCTGCCTCTCGGGTTAGCAGAAGTCGCTGAGGGGCTGTCTGTCCGTCCAAGGGCGGGGCGTACCTTGGTAGCTGGTGCTGCCACTGCTGCTGAGGTAGGACTCCACCAGGGGGGCCTGCTCCTCCGACTGCCGGGCCCGCCGGCTCCGAGGCCGCCCGTCGGCATTGGCCTGCACCATCAGCGGCTCCTGGCGCTTCTTCTTCTGCTTCTGCTCCAGCAGGGCCCGCTGCAGAGGCACAAGCAGGCGTGGGGTCACCGGGCTGGAGGGGGCAGCCCTCTGCCTCCACCCGAGGGGGGCACCCCGCCTGGGAGCAGAGGGAAGGCCCTGCTTGCCCGGCTTGCCTCTAGGGACTGCAACGGGGGCCAAAGCCCGCTCTGGGCCAGGGCCTCCTGACCGTGGTGCCTCAGGACTCGGGGTCCAGGAAAAGGGGGCAAAACTCAGCCCAGGAAGCTGTCCTGGCAGGACCACGGCCCCCCAGTGGCCTGCGTGGCAGAAGGCCCGGGTCCGTACGGGTCCGTGTACGGGTCCGTGCTAATGCTGAGCTGGTAAAGGAGGGAGTTGCTCTGGGGGGAGGATGGAGAGGGGGACTCTCCCCATCAGTGAGGATCACCCAGGAGGGGGCGGCCAGGACGGTGAGTGCCCACCCTCCCGCCTGGCCCCAGGCTCACTCACCTGCCGGTCAAGTTTCTGCTGTCGCAGGTTGCTGCCCTCATCATCTAAGACACTGCGGAGGGAGAGAGGGGTGTTCAGGGCCTGCCCACGAGGTGCCAGGGTTCGGCCCAGAGGCCCTCCCCCTCCCCCCCCAGCATATCTGGGTCCTTTAACACCCCCCCTCCCCCACCATCACTGCTGAGAGGAAGGGGGAGGCTATTATTGGGGAGCCAGCTGGAGGGAAAAGGCTGCGCTACAGGCCTGTGCTTGGGCGCGGGGCTCCTGTGGGATCCTCGGCCCAGCAGCTACGGGAGGCTTCTCCCCTGGGCCCACGCGCAGGGCTGACTGCAGTCCAAGGGGCCTGTCCAGAGGCATCGGGCACAGGCCAGGCCCAAGCCCAGGCTTCGGACCAGGGACCTGCCCACTCGGGCCCCCTCAGATGTCACCACCCCTTCCCCTGCCTCCGGGTCCTTCCGGGGAAAGCTGGGCCCTTGGGGCAGACCCTCTTCCCATCTGTTCAAAGCAAGCTCCTGGCTCTGCAGATGGCGGAGGCCTGACTCTGCCCACTGAGGCCAAGGGAGAGAGTGGCTACGTGACCACCCAGGCCCGCAGGGCAGGGCTGGGTGGGCAGGCACAGCAACACACGACCCAGCGACCAACCACTGGCCCTTCCCTGACCATGGACGTGGCCCAGGCAGCACCAGGGCATCGAACCCTTAGGTGTCTCACAGGCTGACCCTGCCTCCCAGGAAGGCAGAGCACAGCAGCGAGCTGGCAATTCAAACCGCTTAATCTTCTTTCTAGCCCAAGGCGCATACAGGGGACCTCCGCCCCGATTCTGTAAGAACCAAGGTCGGGCCAGCTGCACGGGGTGGGGCTGGAGCCTGAGGGGCTGAGCTCTGGGAACCCCGAGGGCACGAGGTGTGCGTGTGTGAGGCCATGAGCATGTCCCGCGCCTGTGCACGCACCGGGAGGTGTCAAATGAGCGGGTGCATCCGCCTGTGTGAGAGGGGGCGTGCCTGTGTGGGGGTGGGTGCAGTGTGCGTGGACCGGGGAAAGATGAGGTCCCACCACCCCAAAGACAAGGGAAGCCGCTGCCACTCCTCCTGACAGCAGCAGCAGCCCTTGTGGCTGAAATATTCATTCACCCGAACTGTCCCTTCCGCTCATCCAAACTATGTGTGTCTCTGCGGGCTGGGGAGGCAGCCAGAGAGCGGGAGGAAGTCCGTGGCCACAGCCAGCCCGCCCCCGACCCCGACCCCCCTGGCCACACTGACGAGGGCTCTGCATACTTTAAAGCGACGGCGTCCTACCCACTAGCCAATGGGAAGGCTTTCCTGACACGCACAGCGGCTCTGCACCTGGCGGGCTGTGCACAGACCAGCCTTATCGCCGAAACCTCGGCTGCCACCGCCCAGGAGAAAACCCGACAGACATGCCTCTAAGTCAGACCTGTCTTCCTGAAACTGCCCACCTGCCTCACACACACAGCTGCCGCCGAGCGCACTGCCAGGACCAGAGGCCGGGAACCACTCCTAAACGCCAGCAGGAGCACACACAGAAGGCACACACCAAGAAGGGCCGTTCCAAACGCTACTGTCCCCGGGTCCGCCGTGGGCACCAATGCCAGGATGACTGCAGGCTGGGTGTGCATGGCACCTGGCTGACAGGAGCCACGGGCCTGACATCCATCCGGGCTCCGCTCGGCAGCCCGCAATCCCGGTCCTGTGCTGGTGGCCACAGGCGCCAGGCCACCTCCACACAGCGCGGGCTCTTCCTGCGGCAGGAGTGTCCTGGCTTCCTGGGATGGCACAAGCCACCTGCCCTTTCACAGGGCCGGGCCGGGGCATTCCTCCGGGACACTCCGGGCACTGGGTTTGGCTGAGCAGGAAGGAGATGGCTTCCATGCATGCGTCATTCAGAAAAGGTGACATCCAGCTGACATGAGCAAAGCCACCTCCGGAACTCCTGGGTCACGGGGCTGTCCAACTGACAAAAGACGGTTCCAGCCCTTTGCCCTCCCTGCCCAGTGCCCCCGTCGTGCCCTTACTGTGTGCATGGAGTCAGGGGAGGGGCGAGTTTCCTACCACAGGTCACGGCCCCGCTGCCGTGGCCTTCCCACACGTTACACCCGGGAGGGAGGCTGCTTCCCATGGAAACACCAGTCCTCCTCCTCCTCCTCCTCCTCCTCCGCCTCCTCCGCCCCGCCCGGTAACAACACAGCCCCCAGGTCAGGGTACAGACAGAACAGACTTAGCCGCTGGCCTTCGGAGAAAGATGGATGCATACGAGGGCTCGGCTTGTAAAGAATTCCAGAAGCTCAGATGTCCTGGAAGTGCCAGACAGCTGCCCGCCCGCCCGCCACCTCACTTCCCATTGGGCGGTGGGCAGCGGGAGGAGGGCGCGCAGGGTGGGCGGCCGCTGTGGGGGGGGGGGGGGGGTGTTGCAGCATGTGCTGGAACAGTGGTCGGCAAACTCCTTAGTCCACAGAGCCAACTATCAACTGTGCAACGACTGAAATCTCTTTTGAGAGCCAAATTTTTTAAACTTAAACTTCTTCTAACACCACTTCTTCAAAATAGACTCGCCCAGGCCGTGGTGGTATTTTGTGGAAGAGCCACACTCAAGGGGCCAGAGAGCCGCAGATTGCCAACCACGGTGCTGGAGGGTAAGAGTGCGGCTGGCTGAGCGAGACCTCCCAGGCGGACAGACGCACACCTGCACGAGGCCCAGGAGGGGCCCGCGGAGGAGGGAAGCGGGGCCCTGGGGTAGCAGCGGGGATCCCAAGAGGCTGCGGAGTCGCCCGCAGGCACAGGCTTGGCCCGGCCCCCGTGTGTCTGGAGCGCACACCTGCCCCTGGTGCACAGCGGCGTGTTGTTGGGAACAATGACAACTGTGCTGTCTCCGGGGAGAGCAAAACCCAAGCAGCAGTCACCTCCTCATCTGCAGCCCAGCCTCCCCGCCCCCACTCACACATACACACACACACACTCACACACACACACACACACACACACACACACACACACACACACACGGAAGGCCCTGCCTGCTCATCGCCCACAGCAGCACCTCCTGGGCACCTTCCTCTCCCACCATCCCGCCAGCCCCCTCTCCGACAGGCGCCGTCCTAGCCCGCACAGAGCGATAACCACGAGAGGAGGCAGTAATGGCTCTTTAATGACTCAGGCTCCAATGATGGAATCACTGCCAAGCCCAGGCTGCCAGCTGCAGCCCCGCCAGGAGACTCCGCCGGGAGGCGGGCCCTGGTGGATGGTCTCCCAGCTGACCCTGGGGCTCCCTCATCCCGGGCTCCTCCGGCTGGGGCCAGGCCAGGGAGCCCAGGAAAGCACCGGCTGCTCGCTGAGGTGGCCCCTTCACCGCCCAGGGAGACAGCCAGCCTCTGTGCATCCCCCTGCTGGCCCTGAGGTCAGACAGATCTCTGAGGAGTGAACCAGGCTGGACCACAGCGAGTGCGGGGGCACTGCTCCTGTGGCTGGAAAAGCCAGACAGGCCAGCGAAGTCAGGAAGCGGTTCCGCCCCTGCTCAGACCCGCCCCACCAGCTCCAGCTAATTCACGCGAGCTGCCGGGGGTCTGGGGGCCAGGCCACCCCAGGGACAGACTCACTCTCCATGCCCACTTCACACACACACACACACACACACACACACACGCCTTCCTGTCCTCCTCCTTCCCCCGAAGGCACAGGGGACTGGGAAAAAGGGAAGTGGGCTGTCAGGGAAGAAAAGACCACCCAGGAACCTGGCTACAACCCCTGTGCCCAACACTGGACACCCTCCCAGCCCCCAGCACATCCCGACGCCCAGTCAGTGCCCAGGGCAGAGACGTTCAGCCCTTTTCCTCTCACGGCACACATAAGCTAATTACTAGAATTCTGTGACACGCCAAAAAAAAAAAAAAAAAAATATATATATATATATATATATATATATATATTTTTTTTTTTTTTTTTTTTTGCCAATTTAACAAAAGAGGTAGGCATAATTTTCATTCATTCACACCGGAAGGCTATTGTTGTGCTGACAATCTAAGGCAGGGGTGGGGAACCTTTTAATGCCGAGGGCCATTTGGATATTTATAATATCGTTCGAGGGCCATGCACAATTATCAACTTAAAAATTAACCTATATATATATATATAGTCAAACACTGAATTAACTCACCCCATTAGCCTTGGCAGGGCCAGACTGGATGATTTTCACAGGCCTCAGGCCAGACATTCCCCACCCCTGATCTAAGGGAAAAGAGGTCAGTGCCTCTGACTAAAGAGTCAGGTACTGCCTGTTTTAAAAGTTCCTGTGGCACACCAACTGGAAATCACTGGCCCAGGCTAGAGCTGCTTGGAACATTGTGGGAACAGTGGGGATGGGAAAGAGGGGGGGGGGGAAATGGGAGGGGGGCAGTTCGAGACGGGAGAGAACCATGCTGCTCAGGAGCCTTCCAGCCTCCAGCCACGAGGCGCCTCCATTCCAGCCACAGGCGCCCTGACGTACCAGGTGTGTGAAAACTGCTAGTGCAGCCAAAACCGGTTTGGCTCAGTGGACAGAGCGTCAGCCTGCAGACTGAAAGGTCCCAGGTTCGATTCCAGTAGAGGGCATGTACCTTGGTTGGGGGCACATCCCCAGTGGGGGTGTGTACAGGAGGCAGCTGATGGATGATTCTCATTGATGTTTCTAACTATCCCTCTCTCTTCCTCTCTCTCTCTCTCTCTCTCTCTGTGTGTGTGTGTGTGTGTGTGTATATATATTTTTTTTTATTTTTTTTTTTTTTTAAACTGCTGGTGCCTCAGCCCTGACTGGGTAACTCGGAACTGCTGGGGAAGCCGCCCAGGCTCAATACCCACCGCCCTCTCTCTTGTAAAGCAAGTCTCCCAGGTGGCTCCAATGCCCGGCAGGCAAACGAGGACCATCGGGAAGGAACAAGGACATGGGGAGCTGCCGTAAGGCCGGAAGCGTGCAAATGCAGCCTCATGCTCCACCGGGGTAAGAAACTGTACTCTGCAGATCAGCGGGCCATCGCAGGCCTTAGGGGAGACTGTGGAAGGGACTGGCTGACCAGCTGGACAGCGGTGTGAGCAGCAGAAGACAAATGACCGCTAGGGGCAAAGCCCAAGTTCCCGGCAAGTCAGGGTGCAGGTCCCCGGGGCCTGACTGGGCAAATGGGAAGACAGAGCAGCCAGGCGCCGACATGGAATCGCAGGGACCAGCAACAGACGATAACGTGTGGGCAAGAAGAGGCGATGCAAGCAAGCGTACGCTAGTCCAATTAGACAGACGTTCAGAGGTTTCTGGGTCATGCCAGAGTCAGAGGCGGTTTCCAGCATCCTGCTTCTCTTGGTTATTAGCCCGTTAACCAAGGACCTGGAGACAAGGCAGGCCTCACAGGTGACACAGGAGGAAGAGGTCCTAACCTGCTCACCAAGACAGTAGGAATTCAGAAGACTCCGAAAAGCTAGCAAAGAGAAAGACAAGCAGGCACCTGACAGGTCAAGTCGCCTATGGGGGTGCCAGCACCCAGGTCTTGCCCACTCAGGCAGCATGGGGCTTGACTTTAGGGGAGTCAGCTGGGGAAAGACTTTGGGGTTCTGTGTAAACAGAGGCCTCGAGGAGACTGGTCAGGGAGTCAAGGCCATCCCATGGGGCAAGAAGGGCTCAAGGGGGCTGCCACAGAAGCAGGGGTCCGGAGGGAGGAATTAATGCCCTCCTGCAGGACCCACACTGGAGGAGGGCAGAGACCAGGCTGAGGCGTCCACGGGGTCCCTGTCCCTCGGTCAGCTCCATCCGCCTGTGTTTCCTCTGCTCCTTCCACCCCAGGAGCAGCAGGAAGGAGTGGAGAGCACGCCGCTGTGGACTGAGGAGCACGGGTGCTGCTCCTCCCGCCCCACCAGGGGAGGCAGTGGTCATGGCGTCTGGGACCGGGGCTCCACCAAAGGCAGAAGCGCAAGAGCCAGGAGCCCGGCTTCACCAGGAGTCACCCCGCTCCCTGGAAAGCAGAGTGAGGAAGGGGTGGGGGAGTCTAACGAGGGCGCGCGGGGGGGGGGGGGGGGGAACCAGAGTCGCCAGTAAGCTCACCCCCAGGAAGGCCTTTGCGATGGTCACAGCCGGCTTCTGGGGGGGGGGGCGTCCCTGGGGATGCCCGGGGAGCACCCACACAGGACTCCGTGGCCTGGAAGGACCCTGAGAGACTCGGGGAGCCCCACGGTGGAGGGTGAGTGCTGTGTCCTTGAGTGAGCAGAGAATGTCCTAAAAGCTACCTGGGGTGCCTCTTTGATTCAAAGTCATGGGCATCTTGTCTGTGCCGGGTCATGCCAGGCACACAGCCAAGCACCAGCTGAGGTCCCTGCTCTCCAGGAGTTCACGGCCTGACGAGAGGAACACAGCTGCGCACAGCACCGAGGACCCGAGGACAGGCTGTCTCACTCACAGGCTCTCTCTCGCCCCCCACACACACACCCCCAGTCCTTCCTGACTCTCACCTACAGCTCACAGAAGGCGGTGAACTAGGGGCATTTAACACTCCTCAAGAACAGAGGCGAAGAGGATATGGCAGGAATGGAATTGGTTGTAACAGAAAAAAAAAAAAAAATGAAAGGCAAGTCATTCCAATTGTTAAACTTTACCAACAAAACGGCTTCCTTCTCAGTCAGAATGTGAGATTAATTCATGAGCATCATAAACGGAGCCACCTTTGCTCTTAAGAAGATGGCCAGTGATTATCACGGCTTCAGAGAAGCTGAGCCAGGCCAGGGGGCACAGGTGCGACCGTCGCCAGCAGACTTAACAGGAAATCAATCGACCTCTCGGCCCCAAACCCGGAGACACATTCCAGCTGACACGCTGCCACGTTAGGCAAACCTCACGCCAAAGCACAAGCACACGCCCCCATCCCCCGCACCTGCACGGAAACGGCCGGGCCTGCCTTCTGCCCCCGTTTCTCTGTGATCACACAGGCCCGGGGCTGTGGCTGCAGTCAGCAGCCCATTAATGCAGGAGGTAAGCTGCATCTCCTCCTCTCAGCCCAGGTCTCCGTTCCGGAAGCCTGCACCCCAAGGCAAATGCTTTCTCGGGCTCAGAGCACGCTCAAAAAGACCCCAGTGGGACAGAAGAGATTCTGGCAACTTCTAAGTTTGGCCTACCCCCAGTTCTACACCTACCCTCCCCGTTGCAGAGCAAAACGGCAGGGGTGCCAGAGCAATGGGACAGCAAGCAGGGCGAGGCCACAGGGGTGTCCAGTTGTTCCTCGGGGCTAGGTTCCCAGGGGGACAGGACAGGTGGAGTGTTGGGCCATGAAAGGAACGGGGGCAGGGGTTGGGCCTGGGCTTGGCAAGTGTCACATCACTCTTTGCGTGATGCCAGTGCTCTGGGCACGTGCTGATGAGCAGAGTCCTTCCCAGAGACAGCCCCACACGCCTAGAGCCCACTTTTCCAGAGGCAGGCTCTTTCTAAGACCACTCGCTTTGGTCCTTGGCTCCTGGGAGGGGCTTCCTTACACCTTGAGCAGCCTGGTCCCCGGTTTACCAGACGCTAAACACATCACCACATCCACAGCCACAAGTGCTGCCCCTTCCCTCCCTCCTAAGTGTCCGTGGCCAACACCCCGCCACGTCCACCCCATACAGGTACATCTACAACACCAGCGGCCGCTCAGCCCACAGGAACTACCCAGGCACCTCTGTGGGGTGGCCAGAAAAGGTTAACAGTACTTTGTGGGGCTGTACTGTCTTCTAAAAGGTCAGCCCATGGGTGTCAAGACAGCCGGGATGCTCCAGGAACTACCTGTGCCCCTGGCCTAGACGCCCGGTACGCAGCAGCCATTCTTTTGAGACAGCCCAGCCCCAGTCCCCTGAGAGGACTGTCTCCCTGGTGCAGGCGAGCCTCTGAGGTGTGATTCCATGTGACTGCAGGAAGCCCTATGGGTGACTTGTGTGTTGGTGAGAGGGGCACCCACAAATCCTAACCTGGAAAGCCATGAAGCCCCCAAAGGAGTCGAGATTAGAGACAAGAGCAAGTTCTCAAAAGCAACCCTGAATCCCCAAGCCAGGGGCAGGTGCTTGTTTGCAGAAGGATCTGCTTTCACAAAGCCCCGGGCGGTTTCTGCTGTCTCCACGCTGCATGCTGTCTGGACAGACTCACGGAAGAGCTCTGTCAGAGGCACAGTCTATCGGTGACTGCAATCAGGTCCCTTCCTGAGAGCAGGCTGTGTTACCGGGCGGACCCGGAAGGCCTGTTTCTACCTCCCCACGGCGTGTGCCCCTGAGTGGGCAAGAACAGAGTGGACCCTAGCAGTCTGGGACCCTTTTTATTATACACACATGCCTCTCGGGGGGAGGCCTACAGACAGGCCTGTAGCCCATGGCAACCGAGGAGCCAATGGGTGGCCAAGGATCTGGCGCTGCCATGGCAATGAGCTGCTTTACAGTGGTAATGGAGAGAATTGGGAAGAGGGGATGGGGGAAAGGCCTGCACCTGTGAGAAGCCCCGGAGACCTTCCTATATTCCAACCTCCACACAGGTGGGGAAGTGCTTATCGGAGTGTGCCTGGACTCTGAGTGCTTTTGTGCAGGTGAAGGCAGCTCTGTGTATTGTGAGTTGGTGTGTGTCCAGGAATAGACCTGTTAGCAAGGGGACTGGTGAGGCTCTGAAAGATATGAGTAGGGCTTGTGAATGACTGGTAGGTGTCAGGTACTCTCCAAATACAGCATATGTACGTGTACAGATGTGTAGCCCGGCACCTGTGTGTGTGTGGAGAGCTGCATGGTGCATGCGTATAGGAGCCGCCTGGGCTCTCGGTTCAGAATAACTGTCTCCAGGAATTCTCGCCCTGAGAGTGTGAATGGACCAGCGGGAGCGGCTGTAACCCAGCAGACGCCCCGCGGGGCCTGCCCGCCGGAGGGGAGCGCGCCGGGCTGTGCCTGTGCCGGCGGGGGAGCCACACGGGGGCCCAGGAGGGGCTCCCAGCCGCGCGCGCTCCTCCCCGGGCGGCCACCGGACCAGAAAGGCCCACCAGGCCCGGGGCACTGGCCCCTTCCAGCAGCCCTGGAGGATAAGGGGCGGAGCGAGACAGGCGGGTTCAGTCCGCCGCCGGGGGGGCCCCAAAGTTGGGGTGGGAAGGTCCAGGTCCTCCAACCCGCGCTCCACGTTCTGGGCTCGATGGGGAGGGGGCCCGCGCCCCGCCCGGCGACCCCAGCCAGCCTCGGCCCGGCGCCCTCCACCCTGCCCGGCGCCTCCGGGATGGAGGGCGGTGGGCCGCACCCCCCGAGTGAGAAAGGAAAGAGGGGCCCGGCGCCCCGTACCTGTAGGGAATCCAGTCGGAATGCGGCTTGGAAGTCATGTCTGTCGGGGGCGGGGCGGCGGCGGCGGCGGCGGCTCCGGAGGCCCGGGCCCCAGAGGGTCGGCGCGGGGGCCCAGCTCAGCTCCCCGGCCGCCCCGGGCCGCATCCTCCCGGGCCGGGGCGCTGGGCCCCGCCGAGGCCCGCGCCGCTCGCCAGGGCCCCGGCCGCGGGCTCCGAGCGGCGGCGGCGGGCGCGGCGGGGGAGGCAGCCCGGAGCGCGGAGCGCGGGGCGGCCCGGAGGCGGGCGGGCGGCGTGCGCCCGGGACGTGGAGAGGCGGCCCCGGCCCCGCGCCTCCGCAAGGGCTGCCGGCGCCGAAGGTCCGAGCTCCGCTGGGCGGCGGCGCCTCCCCTCCCGTCCCCTCCTCGCTCGCCCCGCCCCGCCCGGCGGAGACCCCACCCCCGGGCCGGCCGCGCGGCCTCAACGTCCCGGCCCCCTTCCCGGGCCCGCGCGCCCCGGCTCCACGCCGCGCACGTGACCGCACCGGGCCCGCGCCCACCTGCCGGGCGGGTCCCCCGACCTCGGGGCTCAGTCCTTCCTCTGTGAGGCCGGGATAACCCGACACCTCCCTCCCTCCCTCCTGTCTCCAAGGAGGATGGGGAACTGCAGCCCGGATGGGGGAGGGGGGAGCTGCAGGGTGGGGGTGGGGGTCCGGCTGTGCAGGTCGGGATGATGGCAGCAGACACCAAGATGTCCCTGGGACCCTGCAGGTCCTAAGCTTGGAGGCTGGCCTTCTCCCTCCCAGTGGCTTCACACACCCACACCCCACACCCCACACCCAACCCCCACTCTAGTTCTCACTCCCCCCACCCCCTCATGGCTTCTTTCTTTGGTTTTAGAAAAGGAGGTGTTTCCTCGCCCGCAGAGCAGCCCTTCTTGTCTAAGCAACCCAGTCAGGGGAAGGAATACCGTGCATTCCGGGCCCTTTAAAGTTCTATTATTTAATCTCCACAATAGCCTTGAGCAGCAAGTGCTTCTATAATTCCCAGAAAAGAAAGCCTCAAGAATGCCATGCTGCCCAAGGACATGAAGCTAGGGGGCGAAGGAGCTGACATGCAGCCAGGGTCTCTGTCCTCCAGGGCCCTTTTGAAGGGCCCCACTTACAAGGAGCAAAAACCTCCCAATGAAGATAATCACAAAGTCTCCGAGGGCTGAGGAGGTCCCGGCTGTGTGATTAGTACCGACTTTAAAGTAAGGTGTGGCCTGTTGAGGTGGAGGGCAAAGAGCCCACAGCGGCCGAGCAGTGTCCGAGTGGGGACCCTCCGGTGCTAACAGGCTGCCCTGACTGTGTGACCGGAGGAAGAGAGCGTGAGAACTGCTAGCTTGGCTGAGGGGGGGCCCCCCGGCCTTCTGCCTGAGTTCACAGGCAGGCCTCTCCGCCCAGAACTCCCCCAGCCTTTCAGCCTTGCCTTGCCTCTATGAAAACAGTAACCAGGATACTGGGAGCATGTGCTGAGCATCAGGAGCTGTGCTGGGTGTATGTATGTACTGTACTGGTTTCATCCTCACCACCGCCCGAGGGGAGAAGTGCTATCGTCATACCCATGTCACAGCAGAAGGAACGGAGGCACAGAGACCGTGCCCAGAGTCACACAGCTGGTCAAAGGGTGACGCTAGGATTCCCACACCAGGGTTCTGGGTCAGGGGCCCTTGCCCTTAGCCTCTCTCCTGCCTGCTCAGTTCTTGCACTGCACGTGCGCGCACACACAGCCTGCCTCTGGAGCTGGTCCCTCAGAGCCATCTGTCTGGCACAGCATCAATGCTCTCTGAAGGCTGTGACCTCTATTTATTTATCAACCTCCAAGAGCTATCGCTGTCCCTGAGGACACAGAGCAGACACAATAAATCACTCTGGAGTGGGGGTGTAGGGGCAGAAAGTTGGGGCTGTGCCTGACTGCTGGGACACTTGACCTGCGCCTCTGTTTTCACCCCTGTCGGACTCCCAGGAAGGGCAGCAGAAAGGGACTGGTCCCTGCCCTAGAGGCCAAGGCAGCATGGGATCCTCCAAGAGCCAGGATCCTTGGATGAGACCTGCAGAGACAAAAGGCCAGCCTGCCCTCCAGAAGAACCCTCCCCACACCCCAGGCTGCAGCTGAGTGGAGCCCAGACTTCCCATTCAGGAACTTGAGGCTGCTCTTCCCCTTTATTCCCAAATTATCTGACACCTTAAAGCAAGCAGAATCACGCTGGAAGGTCTCAGGAGCCCCAAGTAATTGAATCTATTAAATAGACACTTTCGGTTCTGTCCTACGGGAGCAGAATCCGGAGGCAGAGTGAGGTGCAGAAATGAGGCAGCTCTCCGTGTGTCTCCTCCTGTGAGGCTGTGGGCATGGGACGTGTGGGAAGCAGAGGGCTGTGTGCCAGTGTGTGTGTGTGTGTGTGTGTGCGTGTGTGTGTGTGTGTGTGTGTGTGTGTGTGTGTGTGAGTGTGCGTGTGAGGTGGCCCTGCAGGCTGAGCCGGTGTGCACAGGAGCGTTGGTTGGGTAGTGTGCTCGTGTGTGTGTGCAGGGGGAGGATAGGAAGTGTGTGCTTCAGTGAATTGTAAGGAGTATGTGATATGGGCCTCAGGAGTTTTGGTAGGGCCAGATCGCATGGCACTCAGAACTGGCAATGGGTTTTCCTTGTCAAGTGGCTCCCGGGTTGACATTTTAAGTGTGTGCCCTTGGCTTCCATCAGAGAGCCACTTCAGAAGCCACGTGAGAACTGCTGTACTAAGCCATGGTTAAAATACAGCCGTGCTAGGCAGTGGCCCTTGAGGAAGGGCCTAAGCTTTTCAAATTTAGCCTAGGAACAAGGTTCTCTCTATTGAAATGTGGCTATACAGCAGAACCAAACCCCCACCTGTCCAAATCCTGCAAGGATGAGGTATTTGCCATAAATTTAAATTCTCCTCGTAGCATCTTATGCATTTTCGACACAGCCATGGTTGGGCAGGGTAGGGGGGGTGGGCTAAAGGGCTGGAATGAAGGAATGCCTGTGGACTGAAGCGGCCCCAAAGAGATCTCACATTTGCCATCCCAGCCGGAGGAACCCAGTGCAAGCTCTAGTTCACCCAAGGAAGAAGGTTAGCATTTTGGCAACTGGCTATTTCCATGTGAAGTCTTATATTTTCTATTTCTACCTGAACAGTATTATTGAGTCTGTGCCACCTCTAGTCAACTTTGGAAACAAGAGGATATGAGTAATAAATGGATTTCTATTCAGATTGGACACCATCTCCCAAGGTGCCTTGCCTAGTATAGCTTGGTGCTCTATACACTTGCAATCTGAGGTGAGCAATTCCAATCAATCAAACATTGACTAGACCTGACGGGGCTCAGAAGTCCATGCAAGGCTGTGGCAGGGTCAGGCTCCATCCTGCAAGTCTTGGGGAGCTATCTGCCAAGGAGCTGGTGCTCCAATCCAGGCGTGCACAGTCCTGGGGCCCAGGGACAGGAAGGACGGGCAGGCAGTGGTACCAAAGGCGGGGAGTCAGGCTAGAACAAGTCAGGATGAAAAAGGATGAGAACTGAATTGGGCCTTGAAGGACGACTAGGATTTTGATAGATAAGGAAGGAAGAGGGGAAGCTTAATGGTTACCAAGACTCGGTGACTGGCCAGCGGCTCTGCTGGGCTTCTTTTCCAGAGGGCATTCTAGACAGAGCAGATGCCATGAGTAACGCCATGGGGATATGCCTCGATGTGACCAACGCACTTGAAAACCAAGGAGCAGACCCGTGTGGCGGCAGGTACGGTAGGTGAGTGTGGCAGGAGGAGAGCCAGATCACACGGCCCCTTGAACACCAGCCAGGCCAGGAGTTTGGAATTTATCCTCTAGCCCACTGGGGACCACTAAAGGTTTTAAGCCAAGAGTAACCTGCTCATGCCGACACCAGTTTAGCTCAGTGGATAGAGTGTCGGCCTGCGGACTGAAGGGTCCCGGGTTCAATTCCAGTCAAGGGCATGTACTTTGGTTGTGGGCACATCCCCAGTCGGGGTGTGCAGGAGGCAGCTGGTCGATGTTTCTCTCTCATCAATGTTTCTGGCTCTCTGTACCTCTCCCTTCTTCTCTGTAAAAAAATCAATAAAATATATTAAAAAAAAAAAAAAGAGTAACCTGCTCAGGTATCCCTTTTAGAAAGTTATTATTAGGAGCAGAATGGAAGAGAGAGGAGACAAAACCAGAAGTATTGAAAACTGCTGGCTGGCTCTGAGGGAAGTCCAGGACAGAGATAAGCTAGCTCTCAGATGGGCCCTAAGCCAGAGCCCAGTCAGTGCCTTTTCAAAGCTGCCGGGCAGACATCATGGCAGTGTGGCGGCATGTGTGCGGGCGGCCAGACAACATGAATAACTAACTGTAGGACATACAGAGACCACTGCCCTTTTACACATGATTTCAGTGCAATAACACAGATGCACCCATGTCTTTGAAAATGTAGGGTAGGCACTAGTAGAATGAAAAAAACGTATGTCTATTTTCCAGATCACTGCAGAAGATAATAGCAGATAAAAATCTCCACATCTCCAAAGAATGAACCGTGGTCTGAAGGAGACATAAAAATCGGAAAGCGTAACACAAGGTGCCAGGGATCAAGCCAGATGTAATGGTGCTGACGTGAATGCAAACGCAGAGCCTACTAGACTGGGTCACTCGTGACTGTCATTTGTCATTTGTCGGGTGCATGCTCCTCGCTGAGCACTCCTACGGTTCATAAGAGAAAGTATGGGCATGGGTGATGCAGTGGGGCTCTCCAGGGCGGCTCTGGGTTCATAGACATCACATTCCACAATGAGGTGGGATAACACCAGCTGGGACCTGGAAAGGAGGAGTGAAAACCTGGGCCCATGCCATTAGCCAGCACCCACTTCTAGTCCATGAACAATGAAAGAGACTGGAGAAAGGGTTGGTGGAGGTATAAGAGGAATTTTAGAGAGAACCCCCAGGACCAGGGAGCCCCAAGGGGTGAAGGTGCTTGAGAGGCTGCGCCCCCCTTAGAAAGCTTAATATGTGGCCACAACCGTCTT